ACGAGTTACGAAGAGTGACTAAAAGCATTATCGAGCAGATTCTACTGTGCTAATAATGTTAAATTGCTTAAATTGTTACTTGCAAAATCAAGAACGCACGCTATTAAAGGCGCGGAATCTGCATCGAGGGCGAGCATTTGATATATATATATATTTGCTATTTGAGTATAAAAATCATAGGCTGATAAGACGTCAGTCGCTATGAACTACTCCTTCACAGTAACTTGAAATTACAGCTAGACTTCCTGCAACTTCACCGGAGATCAATAGTTAGCAAAGTCGCCTGCTTAGGCTTACTTGGCAAAACGTTTTGATACCTTGCAGACCTCAGACACTCCCGGGTGTTTGAGCAGGCACAATGTTCCACTTATTTTTTGCAAAAAGAAAGGTCACCGGAAGAGACCTCTCAATTTGGTTAAAAGTAATCGCCGTTCTCTCTTCCGGTGACCTTTGCGTCGGCGTTTAATCAGACAATTTCTTTACCACACTTCAGTTGGTTTAGGTACCCTTTACCCTTCAGTCAGACAATTTCTGTACCACACTTCAGTTGGTTTAGGTACCCTTTCACCTTCAGATGAAGTGTTGTCTGGTGCCGGCGGTGGCCTCGTAGAGCTTGAAGAATCTTTTATGACGGATTTATATCTTCCGCTCGCTGGGGTTCGTTTATCTCTAGGGGCACTGTCTGAAGAGGATTTGCTTTCCGTGACCACGGTTGGACGAAATCTCGATAGACTTTTCACATTTATGCCACCTTTCATCGAAGTAACATTATCTCCACTTGTTCTCCCATCGTCTGGCTTGTTCCCTCCAGCTTTTCTATTCTTAGCTTCACTAGGTGATTTCTTGGCAGCAACCTTTGAGGTTGACATTTCAGAACTCCCTTTTGTGTTTGGCATCTTTGGAGCAAAAGTTCTCGTTTCATCGGGCAGTTTAGAATCTATTGCAGAACCGCTAAATTTCGCATACTTTGTTGTAACATTCGGTTGTTCAACAGCCACTTTAAGCTTCCTTTCGAAGAAGTCACAAGGTTCATTTTTAATCTGGCGCTCGTTTGAAACAACAGGGTTCTCTACGACCACTACTTGCGGTACACCAGAGACCTTTGACCAGAACTTCATTTGGCCTTCACCTGGAACCACAGGTTGCTCAATTTCGTCGAATGCACTGGACATTTGTGGCGGGTATCGAAGTTCAGGCGTCTTGTAATATTCAGCAATGGGCGTGTTCTCTTCGTACTGGCTAATCTTCTCCGCGGATACAGGATTCGTTATCGTACCTGTCACGTCTGCTTGAGCGTTTAATCCTACACCCACTGAAGAATCAAGTACGATTTGCTGTGCTTCACTTCGATATAATGGCACCGGGTCAGACGACAACATCTGATCTGGCCCTGTCACTTCCAGATTACAAGGCTCTGCAGGTTCAGAACAATAACGGCCTAGCTGCGCGACTTCATTTGGCTGCTGTACCTCGCTCCCGCGATACACCTGCGAAGTGTATAGTTTCGAATGCAAATTTTGTACGGGGGGGATCGCATTCATCGGTAGGATCGTGTAGGAGGGCCCGGTCCAGGCCGGGCCGCAGGTGTAAGGCGCACTTCTTTGATAGCCCATTATTGCAGGCTGTATTGTGTTGGACATCGGCATTGGGGCTACTCCCGTTTGAATTGAAATGGCTGGAAAATTTTCTGAACACAAAATCTGTGCCTGTTGTCGTGGCTGAGCTTTATCATAGGTTAGTTGAGGCGTGAGACCCCCTGAGGCATTAATTAGCTGCACTTGAAATCGCTGATCCCCTGTAGTAAAAGCCATCAGAGGAACCTGTGTCGTACCGGTAGGAGCACGTTGTGCAATTGAGATGAACGCATTTTGCATGCAGGGAGTTATCACTACCGAGTTTGTGAAGGCCTGCGGATTGGGCCATGATGGTGCCATGTTTGATATGGTCCGTTCTGAGCCCTATGTTATTGATAAGGGTTTTTTATCCATGAAGTCCACGATATTGACAACCCAAAAATTGATCGTGGCTAAAACTCGAGAAATGTTCCCCCTTTTATGTCCTAGAAGGCTTCGTTTTTTTCTTAGTAGAGCTCGGTAGTCATTAAGACTGCTGGAAAGCTAGTTAAGTACAGCTTTGAGAGACCTTTAGTACAGAATTCTGGGAATGAGTTATCGAAATGATCGTGTAATTGTTATTGTAGCTCAAGACCGAAGTCTGGCAAACTAGTGCTGTCCTAATGCCCTAAACCTTATCATTGATCTACGTAATTAGAAAGAAGTATCAATGACGAATCACACTTGTACACTTGACGATGCACTTGTAACTGAGCAGAAATGAGTTCAGTTAGTAGATCTCTAATGGTACCCACGGTAGCCTCATTCGAAGATAGGAATCGTTGGAGTCGATAGAGATATTAATCAATACGATAAATTTATCATACAATGGATACAAGAAAATATTTCGATTGACTTTAGGCAGGCGTGCATTGTGGAGCTAGCTTAAAGATAATGTATTAGCCACAACAGCTAATGTATTGCACATAATTATGACCAGTACTTAAAATTTTCTTTTGGATATCTACCTAGTATCGCAGTTCTTAGCCTTCTCTAGTTTCAGGAACAAGTCGGAGCCAGGTTTTCGATATGCAATCAATGTAAAATGCTTAGCGTAGGAAATTAATAAACTTCGTCGCCTATAACTTACATGGTGAGAAACACCGCAAAACGAATCTTCAAACGATTTCTCTTTTATTTATTGTTGTCACTATTGTTTCCTGAATAAAAATTATAAGACACATGTGAAGGGAACATTACGAATATTAGAAAAAAACATAAGATTCTTTTAAACCCAACATTAATTCTTTAAAACAAATAATCTAGATAAACAGTCTCTCTTATTCTGCAGCACGGAGATGACTTGGGTCAGACGGCCAAGTGGGTTCGAGAATAATGATGAACACCTTTTTATAAGAAAACTTAATTAGTGCACCAATGAAATTTAACACAAGTTGCTGCATATAACCGGACAATATTTGCATTGTTCTTGCAAGTGTATAAACCTCGCAAGCAGTTTATTTCATTCTAAAAAGATGTGGACTAACATAAGGAGTTTATGATTCAGAAAGCATTTTCTAATATGCGCAATGTTATACCAGTCGTACATATAAACGTAAGACGTAAGACGCGTGCAGCAATTAAGAACAAAACTATCTTCTCTACAGGCCCTGTAAACATGTATCGAAAATACAGCTTATATTTTGTTCCCGACCCATTACTGCTAACCATTACTCTTTATAATTATAGAAATCGTAGTGATTGCCATCACAGGACCTAACATTCTTGATCTGTTGCTTAAATACGACTAACCGCTTTTAACAGGAGCTCTCCATGGATTCCGCATCCATGGAGAGCTCCTGTTAGTAGTGGATCCACATCCACTACAATGTGCAATAGAAAGGTCGTCGATTTGCAGTCGTACCTTAATGATAATAACGATCCAGCGTTCGCTCATGGATGACTGCTAGGTTCTACGAAAAGGAGAACCTTGAATCCGCCTGCAATCCTCTTTGTTATATGATATTTGACAGCCTCGGCAGGCTGCTCCGAGAGGTGCCGAATAGGCTAAAAGAACGTTAGAAACCAACGAAACGGTACGGGTCAAGAAAGAATTAAGAATCTGGCTGTGTGCTAACTGCGCAGGCGTTACTCGTCTGAAGCCTAGTTGTCGCCGATCTGGGTAACCCCCTGCCAGATTCAATGCACGTGTGCTCCCATTTTTATCTAGTCGATATTACAACACAATTTAAAACGTAATCTCAATATTCGAAACACATCTCAGCTTTCCTCGTTTTTATTGGATTTTCTTGATCGGCCCTAAGCTTTTTTCAGGTATTTTTTAGGGCGGTAAAGTCACCGGAGGATTAGATTTAGCGAATACGGAGTTGAAACAAGACAGATATGTAGGTTTTGCGCAACGACAGGTGAACGAATAGAACACCGTAATGAAATATCACGACCTCTCCACAGTTCAGACTTATCTTTACAAGTAAACAGTATTACGCAGTGTTGGTAAAGCTTCTTGGTCTTTTAGCTCTTTAGTAACAGAGGAACCACTCGGCGTTAATTCCTAGTGCACAATTCACTACAATGGCCTGTAAGAACTATGACAAAAGCTTACTTTTTGAAATTGGCCTTACGATTTCCTTTGGACTGGATTTTTCTCTAAAATAAGCTGGAATGATTGTGAGGTTTGCTTTATGTCTCGCCACCTGTAATGATGCGTAAAAGCAAATCCAGCTTTTCTTTGATCATACAAAAGCTTTTTTCGGTTCTGTAGTTGCTCAAACTGAAGGTTCTTCGCCGCAGTTCTTGCCGGAAATGACTCAAAGCTCCTACTAGGTTAGGTAAACGTTCAAAAGATCTGAAACTTAGTCTGTAGATCGCAGAAAGCAAGCGAGTATTGTTTCACAAGCTCGATCACGGGTCGGTCTTTAGTCTATAAAAGGCCTACTTTATGTTGTTTTTTGCCTCCGGCAAGCTAAACAGATTTCAAAAATCAAAAAATCTATTTCCCACGTAACAATGACATACGTTTGTAGAATAAAATAGTCAAACAAGCTGAAACTTTGCGTCAAAACTGAAAGTAGAGATTAAAAAAATCGTAGTATGTTAGTTTTTTGTGGAGTATCTATGACGAAAAAAGCGACAGCGCGTCGATTCATAATAGCCTCTGTTTGGTAGTGTCGCACAGAGAATACACTGGTCAATTTTTTGTCTGAGCTGTAATAATCTATCTTCTTAGAGGTTTCGGATTAATTTTAGTATCTCTGAAAGCAAGAGACTAAGTACTACCTAAGAAATAGCTGTCACCGTTTATTTTAAAATGCAAGTGCGACCCACAAGGTTAATGGAATACTCATACTATAAAAGTCGACTCATTTGGTCTATAAACATGTTTTATACTTACTCACGTACTAGATTTATTTGCAAAATGAGATCGCAATAGAAGTTATCCCACTTCTACGGTTCTCCTATGAATTCTCACCTAGTACCATAAGCCAGTGATGGCTATCAATACACTGCAGCCCTTGAATATGGTGACTTTTGACTGAAAACCGTTTTGCATAACGTCTACAAGAGTTAAAGGAACGATTGATTAAAAGTATAGCTTTCCTTTGATGTGAATGATAGCCGGCACATAGGAAGTGTTGATGCATTCACCCATGTTACTAAATACATATGAAAACTAATTTCTAGTTTCTTTAAATCTTTGATCAGCGAAAATGTATATGAAGTTATAATAACAAGCTTAATGTATTTACGTAAACGTACTTTTTTTCTATGCTTAGTATTGGTATCGTTTGATTCATTAGATCAAACATACACGTTGTTTTGATGCCACCTATCAAATACTTCTCCTTATGATCAGCGTAAACTGTTTCATAAATAACACCAGCAAACATCAATATGAGCCTTGAGATACCTTGAAAATCACGATGCAGGAATATTAGAGTATTTGTACAAGCTCCAAAGAGCGAACATACTAATCCAATGATTAACTGAATGTTGCAGGATATTTCAATCATCGTCTTTATTTACGAGTGTGTCTAGTGTATGTACAAAAAAGTCTAACAATTTACTAAAATAACAACTGTACAGTTTCAAGGCCGTACCAATTTGCACGGGTACAACCAGATTAGAACTGGAAACCTCCTGGTTTCTACTCTTGGCGTCACCGCCTAATGCCTGCCGCGGGTATTGTAATATAATTAATATGGACACTATATTATCATATGAAACAAGTACCCTATCTTTTATAGTTTGTGATTTATATTGTTTGATTCTATTTATAAAAATATAGTAGCTAACAAAACGAAATATAGAAATATAAAAAATAAAGTCTATAATTAATTAAAGAATTAGCACACCCCATACAAATGTGCATGTCATATGGCTATCGGCCATCTCGGCCATATCGGATTAAATTTTCGTGTCAATGCATTTCGACGTGAACCTACAGCCATCAAGCGACGTGAACCATCAAGCCTCTACGTATACGCTATCGACAACCTTACGATATCGAGTACCATTTAAATGAGCACTTTTGGTATAGATAACATTTCCTATATAATCCGTGTTGGTTTAACGCGCATTTATAAACCGGACTTAGAGCTCTATTTTTTTAAGATACAAACAAACTGTGTAATAAAAATAAGTACAGTCTACAGAAAGCGAGAGAAGAAGTTTTTAAACCGACACACTTTTACTGGAGGTATTATACACAAAATGGCGTGATTATTTCGTCAACACGTAGATTGAACTAGAATGAGCGTACACACTACAGTTTTAGCACCACATAGCTCTGATTCCCTACTTTAAGTATGCGGATTGGTGATTATCGAAACGTTATGTTTTGACCGATATATTACAGAAACGTTTACACTTTGGAAAATCTAAATACCTAATAACATTACTGTTAAAATCAGATTTCAAAATCCATTACATTAAAGTTGGTTAATTCCAAGCGATTTAAACGTTTTTCTCGACCGACCCTGTGAGCTTAGAGTGCCTCACAGCTTCTAACTTTAGGGTCTCTGGCCATTATTAGCATGGAAGCTGTAATATCAAACAATCAAATGATAGATCGCTCTGTATCAGAAAATACGTGCCCTTACACCCAAGAGGCGATCGGTCTACAGAAAACTTATAGTATTCTCTATATTCTACACACTTTTAGCTAACTATATTTTCGTGACCATCAGAGACTTCGATTATTTTTGTTTGGAAAAATGTGGCTCCAGAGACAATGAGCCCGTTTTACCTTTAGCCATCAATCGAACTTCGGCTTTGATTTCTTCACAGTAATCGCGTGTCAAACCAATTTTTTTAAGGATTTCCTCTGCCTTTTCAGATTCCCATTGGCCAATTTCGTAAGCCAAAGATCGTCGGTGGTGATTGACTGACCACTGTGGTGGCAAATACGCCGGTTTCATGGTTTCTAGAAAATGTTTGCGCCACAAAGCTTCGAGCTCAAGTATTCCACCCTCGTTGGCGGCAAAATGTTCCACAACAGTTAGTCCGTGGCATCTGAAATTCTCATTGAATCGTCTCGGATCTTGCATTGCAATAGCCTTCAGCAACTCCGGCGAAAGTTCGTCGACATTCAGAGCTCGTTGAATTATTTTCTTAAGCTCGTTGAGTCGCGGTAAGGGAATCTGCGATGCAGTAGGCTTCAGTAGGGCCTTAGCAGCTCGGATTAATTGGGCAGTTTTTACATTGACGACGTACTTGTGCTCGGATAGCGGCGCATCACATTTTTGTGCCAGCTGTTCACGAAGTCGAGAGTTCAGCGCGTTGCTTCTCTGATGACAGTCAACGCACATCAGCAGGACATCGTGTGAATTGTATTCAGTCATCACGCTCGGAAAGAAGCTCCGGTATTCAGTTGGCACAATATTCTTGCGGACAAGCTCATCCCTTGAGCCGCAGACGACGCACTGATTGTCCTTTGAAATTGTGTAGTACTTTTTGTCCAGGATGGGACGTCCCTTTGGTTCAAAAAAGAGGCGAACCGTCAGTGGTTCTTCGCAGACTAATGTGGCGGCACCCCTATTAAGATACCAAAGGGCTTTTTTTCGTTTGATCCCGGCGAGCACTTCACCATCGGGAGCCAGCAGCACACAATTATCGTAGTAAGGCGAAACGCGAACAGCTTGACGGCTTTTGCGCTTGATCTTGACTTCGTATTTGTTGTCATTTTCAGCTCTAACTGTGTCCGCAATATTGACAAAATTTTTGAAAGCAATGTCAAATAAATAGCCGAAATGTTTCATAAGTATAGCATCCAACCGCGACTGTCGAAAAAGTACCAAGAAACAATTTTCTTTTAAAAGCGCAACTTTTTTCGCAACTAGAAATGAGGCTAAGGCGTCGTTAGCTGCGTATAAAACTTCTTTTTCCGTCAAAATATCTGCCTCCCAGTTAGAGCGACGAAGTAATATCGATTTGTCCAGTGCAATGCCAACCAAGTCCATTGACAATTTTTGCAATGACAGCCCACGCTTTGCTAAGTATCTCGCCCTTGAAGTATTAAGCACCATATGTCGGAGATCAAGACAGGAACTGCACGTTACCCCATAATCGAGAACGAGTTTCTTAGCATCCTCGCATACATCGACACCCACTTTAGCCACTTCGGGGTTTTTCAACACCTCTTCGAGCTCAACAGGTATCGAGTTCAATTTGGACAACTGAATTACAAAACACAGGCTCTCGTTGGGCGCTAATTGGATAAGTGCCACCTTGTGACGCATATGACTAACTGCATCAGACACCCATTCACAGTCAGCGCCCAACACACCACTTTTATGGGTTTCGTCTAAAAACAGCTTTTTATGCCTATCCCAGTCACTTGTTGATTTGATGAATATAATTCGAGCCTTAGATAGATCAGCTGTACAATAAGTCCGTGCACGGTAAAGAAGTACACCAGCGGTTCCCAGCACAACGCCAGAGCCTAGTAACAAACATTTCTTTATAGTTGTATTGCCGGTTGACCAGTCTGGGATTAAAGTGGGTTTCAAATACGAATCCATGGAACTTATCATCACAGAGAAGCACGTGCTCGCATTCTCGACACTGCGATTTGGCGTCATAGGTTCGAACAACATCAACAGCAACTGCCGTTGTCTTTCCTAAATCTCGCCGGCAACGTGTCATGTCTGCCAAGTCACCTATAATAACACGCGACTCACCGAATTCCGCAACAACGTAAGGAAAAGATGGAGTTCACATGCGCAATAAATAAGTGTATTACTTAGATAGAGCAAACTAAAGATGTTTTGGTGGTTGTTTAATCAATGCTCATATTCTATTATCGTGTTCGTAGCAAGAAACGCAAACCTACAACTCTAGTGGATCCTCAGCAGACACTTTCGAACGTTGGCGGCTGGACTGTGTGTTCGATACAGCGGACCGGGTGGGCCATCACTGGGTTTATATCCTCTCTAGTATCAGCTGGAAGCAGATGATAACCCGTGCTGCTAAAGGCTGTGCTAGAAATCCGTGATAGGAGACCCTATATTCAAGACAACCATGGTCAGTACTACACTCAGGGCTGTGATTATGTAGCAAGATTCTAATCTAAGTTTAAGCAGCATACGGGTAAATAAATTGCCGGGTAGAGAATTCGGTTACAGAGCCATCTCAAGTCGGCATTTGAAGCTAGCATAATCCCATAATATAGCGATGTCATTTTCACTCCGCTGCAGAAGTTGATTCTTTGTTTGGTCCTTATATGTTAAAGAACTAATGCGTTTTAACGACTATTTCAATCAACTTCATGTGAAATCAAACAAAAAGGTGAGGAATAAATATATCTCGTTAGTATGTAGAAGATGCAGAAATTTGATAATGACTGATGACAGCTGGAGTGAATGTGAATACACGATCCTATGTAAAAAGTGAAGGACAGGCAAACAATTGCCAACTCGGACGACGCTCAAACTTAAACATCACTAATTTCTCGTACTGCCCAATCCTAGCTACTAATAGCTCCCTCGAGGTTTGGACTGTCAATCCTTTTAAAAGGGTCTGGAACTCATGGCTTATCGCTTCAAGAAAACATCCGTATATGCTTTCCGAATATGTATTAAAATTAAGAAATCAAAATTATCAATATCTACTCAAGCAGACCTTAAGGTTAGTTTTTATCAATCAACCTTTAACTCTCCTTTCCTTGCTTGGATAAATGCGTTCCGTTAGTTAACCAATTAGATTAACCGTCTTATTATCGCTACTACGTTTAGGAACTTTTAGCCGCGGATTTGGGCGGTCAACATTTGTTAATGACGTCTGTCTCTTTTTGATTTGTATCGAGAAGACTGTTACTTACGCAGTCTTTACACAGTCAGTGATCATAGTAATAATAGTTTTTATAATTTCATTCATTTTCGATAAGGTACATTTAAAATATTGGTTTAAATAAACATGCACGAAAATTATAAGCGCATTCGCCCGTCTGAACACGTCAAGTCGCCAGAATCCCAATAATAATACATATATAGTAATATATAATGGTATTTAATCGGAAAATAATAATAATATTTGAAAATAATAATCATAAATCTTTGTGAAATAAATGTTTCGGTACTATTTGGTAAATACTTGAAATCCCCCGTCATCGTAATCGTCCGATTACTATTATTTATTATTAGAGGGCCTAAACACCAAGATGTTTAGTTAATATTTACTTTGCTTTACCTCCCTCATGAAGCATTGTGGCATGAAACACCCTCGTGAAGCAATTACAAATATTGATATTTCGAACTTAATATGCGCGGCATATAAGTGTATTCGAATCAGAAACTTACAATCTATTAGAACTTTTTATGCTTCTAAACATTCGACAATAACTTATTGTAGTCATTTAACTAAGTATTCATAAAGCTTAATTTTTCCGCTATGATTTCTACAGCACGGGCGTGTAAAAGTAAAAACGACAGCACAGCAAGAAGCTGAAAAGGAGCTGGAACGCCAAAAAAAACTTGCGCTTTATAAGGCAGCTACAGAGAAAATTTTCCAAAAGGTAAAGGCACGATGAGCCCAGTCAGCAGTTTTTTCTGATAGAAGGGAAAAAAAGCGATCCCTCTGAAAGACGTGTGCAACCTACAAAAAAGGTCACTGAGTGAATCAACCTTACGATTAGTGGGAAAATGCAAAAGTTAAAGCTTGATGCACGATCATTATGTTGCTAGAGAACTAGCTTATCGATATAAACATGAAAATGTTTTCGAGTAATTTCAGACTATAGCTAAAATGAATCCTCTTCTATGTCTGATTCTTTTTTTTTAATTTGAACTTACTCTAATTACTCTAATTAACACGTAATTATTGATTATAATTTTCAAAGCTCTATCAAGTCTTATTGAGTACATTTCATCGCTTACATCAATTAACGCAGTAGAAGTTTCGTTGTATGTATTTTCAACATTTTTTTTTACATATAATTGCCTACTTTTGACGATTTCCACCTTTTCCTACCTGTTTACACTTTTCTAGTTATAATTACGTATATTTCATGTCGTATTCAGTGATTTTCTTAATTTGTATGTTTTCATTTTCTCGTTCTTAACAAATGCCTAGTCCAGATCAAAATAAAAACATTTTGTGTAATATAGTACGATCATTGCAGAATAAATCATCAAAGGGGTATTAGCTATTAGCAAAAAACTTCAGCTGCATCAACACGTATCATTTTTACAGAGAGCATCGTCCGAGTACGATGAAGAGATCCTACAGATTACATCTCAAATCCTTCAGAACAATCCGGACGACGCTACGTTGTGGAATATACGACGTGAAACTTTTGAACAAATGAAGGCCAAAGGGTAAAACTTAACATTTGTTAGGCACTCCTTATATTTATATTCTCAATCCTGTAGCTAAACCAGTAACTTTGAGATGTGAGTTCGAAACAGTTGAAGAGACCACCAAACGAGATATCGCCCCTTATCTGTAATATATGGCTATATTTACAATTAACGTTAAGGCCAGTACTATGTTGCTATCTGATCTTTCTACCCGATATCTACCCAGTTATTTTACTACAAGTCATATTTATTTCATATACATACATATCCCCCAAATAGACCTACCTAAGTTCAAAATAACTAGTAATTTTTCATTTCATCCACAAATCCTATTGCTCAGTAGAAGCAATAACCGGTTTAAGATCTTTTTATATCTAACATGTTTTCTATTTGGATTGCTGGTGTTAAAGTGATGATATCTCAGAGCGTACCAAAGATGAGCTGTTATTAGTCTGGCAGGCGTTACTGAAAAACCCGAAATCCTACGGTGCTTGGTGGCATCGAGGATGGGTCAACGAAAACTTGACTTCGACGCCCGACTGGGACCGCGAACTTCAACTGACTGGACTTTTCCTAGAGAAGGACGACAGAAACTGTACGTTAATTTAAACAGAGGTGGTACAATTTTATGCCCCGCCTTTGACGATAACGGAGAACGCCATTGCGTATAATAGATACATAAGTTCTTATAACTTCAATTCGAATGTGGAAAAATTCGAACGAAGTTGTATTGATGCACTGAATGGTTTGTAACAAAAATATAACGTGTATCGTCCTTTGTTTTTTATTTTGTAAGGCCTATCAATTAGTGAATTGTGAATGCTAGGCCAATCTACTTGGTTAAATTATGTAGCTGTGGTACGAGTAAAAACCCTGCAGTCATTTAGTCGATTCGAATTCAATTTTCAATTCGAAACTATTTTGTTAAATTTCTAACGATCATCTCAAATAAAATTACAGTCCACTGTTGGGATTACCGTCGTTTTGTTTCGGGTAGATGCCAGACTCCTCTTGAAGACGAGCTGAAATTCACACTGGAAAGAATCGAGGCCAACTTTTCAAATTATTCATCCTGGCACTACCGGTCACATCTTTTGCCACGGTTTTTCCCTGGTGATAAGGAAGGTTCGATAAAGGAAAACGTTTTGCTTGAGGAGTTGGATCTAGTGCTTAACGCTGCCTTTACTGATCCTCAGGATCAATCAGCGTGGATGTATCACCGGTGGTTGCTAGGAAAAGGCAGGTCAAAAAACATAAAGATAGTATCTTTAAAATAGTATACTTCGTAATATACACAAGCTTAAAGCTTCGCTGGAACGTACTTTATTTAACTGAAAAACTTACATTGCTATGAGAAGAAAATTACTAATATGGGTGTTCAGTAAAAGATATGGAGGAAGCCTAGACGCAAATAATTTAATAAACCACGAAGTAAGCTATCGAGGGGAGGAGGATCGACTGAAGATCAGCGTATCCAAACAACTAAAAGCAATTCAAAGAAATAATCACTATTAAAAAGATGTCCTAGAGCAATAGCAACAGTCGAGACCAAAGTATGGTTTAGGTCGAACAAACCCCAAATGATATTTGGTTATCAATTAATAATAAATTTTCAATTCAAAAACAAGCATTGTCTAAGATACTGGCGTCGATATCATAATATTTTAGCATCAACTACTTGATAGATTACTTAAGTGCCTCATTAGAGATTAGATGTCATTTATTATCTATATTTGTCTGTATAGTGGAGCCAGTGGAAAGTATTACGTTCGCTCGGTGGTATCCAGTAGAAGGCGTGCTTTTAATAACCTTCGGAAAGGAAGTTGGCAGATGCGAAGCAGCGGTAAAAATTAATAGTGAGGTAAAGGAGGTTCAATGGAAAATGGTTGGAGGGACTCACTCAGCGCACGTGTGGGTCAGTATCTTCTCAAAAATCACTCAGATGTGCTTCCAGTCAGGAATCATTAAAAACATTCATTACCTTCATTATGTAATCCGACGTGTTCGGCAAAATTACATTGTGTACCTGTAGAACGTTGTAAGTGATATTAAGATTTTCGTACTCACCGCGATTAGATGTTAATACAACAGAAGATCATATTGTCAAACAACAGAATCGTAGAATTATCACGTAGCACTATACTCTCACCTGGTATTTTTATAACGACGATTTTTAGACTTGTCAGGGAGCGCACTTCCACAAAGCTTCAACGGTTTCCATCGACGAAATCAGTCTAACCCGAGACCATCTAGAATGGCAAGCGCTCAGAAATGTTAAAAGTGGCCTGTTGACAGTAGCAAAAACGACCGTGCTCCAAGAGCAGCTTGAGAATGCCAACAGCCTTATAGAAATGGAACCGGATAGCAAGTGGCCTCTGCTAACGGCCGCAATGCTTATGAGTGCCCTTCAGGATCCAGTGTACTTGCAAAAAACCCTAGGCCTGATGGATAAACTCGCGCATGTGGACCCGTTTAGAAAAAACTATTATAGAGACCTTAAGTCTAAGTTGATTATCGAGGCCTGCCTAGAACCAAACGCCGTCGAAGTGGATCTATGTAACAAAGGGCTTACGTGCCTGCGACATTGTCATATGATGTCCGCTACAGTCAAGCTGAATCTTAGCAAAAATCAACTCCACGATACGGCTTTGTACCAGCTGAAACATTGTTTTTGGCTTACCGCCCTCGTGTTGGACGATAATCCATTGAGGACACTCGACTTCTTGGAGGTGTTACCCAACTTGAAAAATCTTTCGGTTAGGGGATGCCGTAAGTAGAGTTCAATTAAATACATTATTTAAAAATATTATGAGATAACGGACAAGATTCACGGGCTACCTAAAAGTAGCGTAAAGCTAATTTTCTTTTTAATTAATTCACATTATATTTTGTTCCTATAATCAGAATAAAGGTCATAACGTTCATATATTCATAATACACTGTTCAGTACCCTGGATTAGTTTTCATGTTTCCTTATGTAACACGCATCTTAATAGTGCATCTTATTACCAGTACTCGTGCATGAATAGAGGTGGCGTATGGTGTGATAATACTGCTTTTTAAAACATAATTCATAAAACATAGAGCATTTCCAGGAGCTTGAGGATCCATTGAGTCTATACACGCTGGTAGACGCCGTGACAACCGCGTTTTGAGATGCCGACAAAACGCAATCGTTGTCGTGGTTCTAAATTTTTTAGGGGCACCTCTCTGCTTCTAAATGTTTCAGTTTTGTTTGGTACTAAGCAATCAACAAAGCAAAGATTTTAAGGAGTTGACTACAAAACAACGAAGCCAGCTCTTGTTCATGATTATAAGCATACATCGATTATCCCATCTTCTTAAGGTAGATTTTGAACCTTGTGCTTTTACAGCTCTCGAAGATGTTTCCGGACTACGATTTTGTACAGACTTTACCGAGATTAGGCTGTCGCGCAAAACAAGGCCTGAGATACTGACAGAGGTCGCGAAGATTAAGCCGAAGATCGTGATATCTATGGAGTGTGTATCTCCCCACGATTATGTCACATATTAGTGTACTGCAATCTCACTCAAGCAATTTAAATATAGAATAAATATAATTTCAAACTAAGGACGGCGTTATAATTTAGCCAAACTTTCGAAACGTAAAAACATAACAAATTAGCAAGCTAACGCCAGCTACAATTAGATTTTGTGACTATCATAACTCGAAATTTAAATGTTTTTTTCTATTGAAACGTCTCTAAAACCGATCTCGTGAAATTTTATTTTCTGTATATAAATTTTATTTAAAATGTTCTTGGATATTTTTTTAAATCTTTTTTAACTTGTTTTAGGTATTGAGGCTGTTTGCATTAAGGGTACTTTTGGTAAATGCTTAACCACAATTATCTCGACCTATATATATAGTAGGGCTGTAGCCAAGCAGCTATTGTATAACGATGTTCGCTAAACTTACGAATGTTCTATACATTTTGAAATCTTTAAAAATTTTTAAATTTGGAAAAATATAAGATAAAAAAAATGCTGGCAAAGTCTCAGCATAGAAATAATTACAATATGATTATCCTCAATGCAAACGGCTCGGCAGGCTTTTTAATTCATTCTTTATGAAAGCGAGTTTAATAAATAATGAGAACTAGCATAAATACGTTGCGATATCAACCTATATTAATCATAATGACTAGACAATGTATTGTTCGCAGACGGCTGCCCTGATAGTAGTATTTAATTAAAACTTCTTCTGCTTCCGGAAGCAATAAGACACGTTAAAAAACAGCACCATGTAACTGATAATTCCTTGCAAGCGTGGTAAATTACATTGGTGGCCACGGTTCACCAGAATTATCGTAAAATGCTGACTTCGATAAGGATTTGTATTTTCATTAATTAAATCTCTATATAATGTTGAACACACGTATGTTATAGAAACACCCCACACATTAGACGTCTATACAAATAGGGCTTAGAATCCGACCCTATCGATTACATTTCTCTTTACAGATTTCACATTATACTTTTTTGGTGCACACATAGCAATAAATAATGCTTAAATTTGGAATCCACTTACCTAAAATACTTTGTGCATTTTACCTCCGTGTGCATACAAGTCTGAATAATAAATGGAAAACCTTATTAGGTTTAACCAAAACCAGGATTTTTAGACCTCAACAAAAAGTCATGCGCTATTTATTCATGATGGAAGTGGCCGCAGTATCTAAGTAGTAGGCATTAAAGACATCAGCAGGAACTTTAGGATTAGTTTAAAGCATTATTTGGAATCGTATTTATGTAAATAATAGTTTTACCGACAGAATATGAACCACATATTGTACTCAATTTTAATTAGTTGTTAATTTAAAAGTAGGTTTTTCCGTTCCCTGAATTTTCTTTTTCATTCCAAAGCGTGCACATACGTAATCGCAGGCACATTAATTGGCATTCTCAAACATACTTAATGTTACAGCATCTTAGTTGCGTCAGGTCCACCGGAGATCCAATCCAAGTCTATTCCATATTGAAAGTAAACAATGGATATTCTTTTTTCAGCAACTTCTTTTAACGATTACTGCAAAACTTGATTAAATTAAGACAATTAGATGTGGTGATATTCCTTTCATTTTATACTGCCTGACAACTGTCCTAGTAGCGATTAACTTTTCGCCAGAATGATAAGTACTGCAACCTGCCTTACTATTGATACATGCAGTCTTCTCTTGTCGCGATGACGGAAAGCACTGTATTTAAAAATAACCTTTGTCAGAAATGGAATTCGAACATACGCGACTCCGACTGCGACCTTCGTACGGAGCCTCAGACTGCTCACCCACCCAGGCACGTCATCATCAGCCAAATTATTCACCCTTCAAAATAGTATTTGATACTACATTTAAATGACCTGATCTCAAGCAAACCTATCCGCAGTAGACAGAAAGAAAGAATTCAATACCTGTTGTTAAAAAAAATTGGTTTGCGTAGTTGTGTAACTTATAGTATTAGATTATACCTCTAGTACTATAAGTTATTATACTGTGTAACTTATAGTATTAGATTATACCTCTAGTACTATAAGTTATTATACTCGATTCGTTCCCCATGTGGCGCGAAGGCGTTCCGAACTTTCCGCTGCATTTCCGACGTTTAGGGGACTCTAGAGGAACTCTCTAAAGTTGCTGGGTTGGCACTCGCGCGTTCCGAATGTTTTATTCGATGCCCTTTGTATACTGTACATCAGCTGAGCGACATAGAGTACAGTTTTGCCAGTCAAAACATAGAATCGTGTCTCAGAAGAAGCTCGTGGACGTATTGGATAATGGCCCTCATACGACGTTCACTATCGTGGCGGGCTCCTCTGAGCTACCAACGGGGTCTAGCATTTTTACCTGAGGACTCCGAAACCTCGTCGGCAGGCGTGTCGAAGAGCGAGTTCCGTAAACTTGTCTTGTATAGGCAAAAAGAAGAACGCAAAGTTTCAAGGAAAACGGTCAAGGATAGTTCGACGGGGGACCGGTATGTTGGTAGAGGATATGACTGCTACAGCCACGTTTAAAAAAATTGCAAATTTTTGCTTTTCATTGCAAATCTTAAAAATGCTGTTGGTTCGAATGATTCCATCAAACAAAGGAGTTGGTCGATTTGCTTTGAGGCATTTGCTCTATGAACGCTAATCTTAAGGCATTTAGCCAAAAGGTGGCCATGATTATCTAAGATATATTAATATCATCGCAATTTATTCTGCCCTATATCACTTGCATTTGAGCTGTTTAGGATTGTTTCCATAGCCGGATTTTTCAACATTTATCAATAAATCAATCTAGAGATAATATTCTCACAGCAGATTGTTATTCAGCAACAGAGATACTGTAATATCTGCACAAATAAAATAAAAGATATATAAGGCTCAATTTTGACTATTTGAAAGAATATCCAATGCAAGTTATTGATAAAATATCATTCTATATAAAACTACTGTTGTTACTTATTAAATGTAAGGGTCAAATACCATCCCAAGTTTTCGAAACTCAAGTCATTCGCTCTACTTAAAAAACAAATCACTCTCCGCAGTCGCTAGAATTGTTACTAATTAACGTACATGTTCATGGGCGTCCTAGATGTAAGCTTTATATTAAATTAAACTCGGTTATTTCAATACCTGTCACAGAATTCTGTGGGAATAAGATAACATGTTCCTAAATCTGTGCCAGTGTTAATGTATTTACAGAGCTCATCAAATGCCAGTAAACCAGGACTGGCCTTCAGTTTGGCCAGCAGCGGCCTCTTTCAAGCCAAGCGTTGTACCGCTTCCAGTTCGACAAGGTTTTTACGAAAAACGTGGAAGTCCACCAGCAAAGCATGCCAATCTCGAGTTAATGAAAATTCCAAATTTTTTGCACTTGACTCCACCTGCCATTGAACGACATTGCAAGGTAAACCAAGGTGATCTTTTAATCATACGAAAATGCAATCAGAATCAGCTTATTTTCTTAGGTAAACTACCGGTACAAGTCTTCGATATAATGGATAACAAGACGGCTGATAAAGGACAGAGTGGGCAATAAGTTCGAATAAAATTTTTCTCCTTAATAGCATGTTGTACGTTCTTTAAACTATTAAAGTTACTGAAGTACATTTATGTTGAATTGCACATTTACCACTAGCCTTTACGTAGAGCCAGTTGTCATATAACTCTGTATCATGTGGTTGAATTCTTTGCAGGCAATTAAAAAGTTTTGTACGCAATGGCCTGAGGCGTTGACCGACGCACGAAGTGCCAATTGGATTACCATCATAACATCCGATTATATACACTCAGGTAAACGCCGTGTTGTTTATGTGGCAGTGATTGAACGTAAATTACGAGTAATCCAATTCAATCTAACTAAGCAAACGCGTAACACGCTTAAAAAGAATGCGGCACATGTCTAATATATGACTATAATTTAGCCATAACCCTCGTAAACGTTAAATAAATATACCGATGCGTAACGGATACCCAAATTATATTCTCTGTTTAATTAACTGGTCACTAGGTGAAAGCAACGAGCCGAACAGAGTTATATTCTAGTATTGTAATAAATAGAAATACAACATGTATAATTCTCTTTCGTTTACATAATATGTTAGAAATATAGTAGATACATTTAAATTCGTTCCATTGGGCTACTTGCAATAAGCCGCCAGGGGGGTGTTGCGTGTGAGTACAGTAAGTACGAGCAGGAATGATACGGTAGATCCTTATATAACTTTTTCTAACAGCAGGGAACGGTTTATGAGAATACAAAACCTTTGTACATCGTACACATTGTCGAAATCAATTAATCAAATGTGCATTTTTCTGTTTTTTTTTTCAAATTTTTCTAGGGCCGAGTATTCGTGATGAACGAGCTCGCATTGTGACTGTTAAACTGAAACTCTCAGCTTTGGATCTGGACCAGCACGCTCGAGATAAATTTCTTCAGCTTGTAGGAGATAGGTAGGATTAGTTAAATTGTTCTCTAGTAAAATAAATAACATATTTGGAATTGTTTGATTGTTACGGATACACATCTCTAATGTTCTTTAATCTACTAATAATGTAATTCTTATTTGTGTTTTAAAAAAGTACATGATTGAAATTAACGAAAATATACTCGCTCTTACCCATTTGGGGTTTACTTTAAAATTCATTTTTACATACCACAGCTTTGAAATGAAGTTACAAGAAATAAGACAATAATTTAAATGTGAAGAATATAAAAATGTACATTTTTTCTCGTTTGAGTGATGCGTATAGTTGCGTTTGAGCACTCTACAGTTGTGTGCATTTATATGCATTATGCATACTCCTTACACGTTCTTAGGTTGCCTAAAATGTACAGTTAAGACAAATAAATAGAACATCACGGAATTGCCGTTCCTACATGCAACAATTAGCCTTCTGTGTGGCAACAAAAAGTAGAAGAAAACGAACATTTTTAAATTTACCGCTAATATTGAGTGACTCACCAATAATTGTAGGCGAAATGACATTCCATTTTTTTAATTTATCACAATATTCGCGTATAACTGTGTTCAAATATATACTCACCAAACTGGAACAGATTTGCCAATATTCGTAAACAATTAGCGAATTCTTGTCGAATCGTTTTTCACTATGAATTCAACCTGTAAAAGGTTGATAGTGCTAGCTTAGCTTAAAGGCATGGACTTAATGTTTGTAAACAAAATACCTATAAAACTAATATCGTGCTGTTTATGCTAGATATAACGCAGAGACAGACGAACTCGTAGTGGTCACTGATCGTTGTCCATTACGTCGACAGAACACGGACTATTCGATGTACGTGCTGACAGCTTTGTTCCACGAGAGTTGGGTCACCGAACCGTGGGAACTTACCGAACGCCAGGAAGCGGACATGCCTTGTTTCGAGTTTGAGAAATCACGTAGTGAAGGGTAAGTTGAAAAGATTACATAATTGAAAAACCATCGTCATTGACTTGATCCACATATATCACATACTTGCATCACAAGGAAGCTGATGTGATGCATTTTATAGAACAGTAGGTGTATTTCAAGTTAAAACCATTTTACAATAATGTAAATATAGTTTCAGTTTTAGGATAGCTCTAGTGTATGCTCGAACTGGACGAAGTTCATATGAACACATTATAATTATAATGGCCAATCTATCTGAAAATCACTAGCTCGCTTTACTTGTTTCTGTAGGTATGCTACCGACTACGCGTCGCGAGCTAAAAACGTCTCGAACGAGACGATTTCGGAATACGGCAAGATTCTGACTCTTCTTAAAAATGAAGGTGACAATATATACAATCTAGACGCGTATAAAAAGGCTGCATGCGACCTAATGAACCTGAAAGCGCCACAGCCTCCGGTTATTTCGTAGGACAATGAATAGTTTATCAAAATTATATCGATTTTTATTGTACGTAGTTCTATCATTAAATCCAAAACATGTTCAATACACATACAAATGCGTTCACCCGCACATGTACAGGTAACGCCTAATCCGACTATGTCAGAAAGGTAAAAAACGGTGGCACTTAAATAAACACATTTTATTAAATATATACGTATGCGTGCTTTTATTTAGAAAAATAGTAGCTACGAATTTATTCTAGAAAGTGGACTTTGAAGGGACTAGAATTGAACTTACGATCATTTTGGTTTTATCGGAGAACATTTGTAATTCTAGTGGGGTAACCCGCAGTTGCTGGAAGTGATGCTACCTACTAATTAAGGGAAAACGCAATGCTGCGTTGATGGAAATAAACAGAGAGAAACGGCTTACAGTAAAAAAATAGGACTGACTATTATCATGATCATCGACGCGTAGGTCGCGTTTGGGAAGACTCCGATCATGTAACTGGCAGCATACCAATACAGTCAAGCCTAAGTAAAAACAGTGCACGCTGATTATAAGATATTCCGGAGTGTCATTCAGCTAATTTCTTTTTACAGATTTGTTAATGTAGACAACGTAATAGACTTTGTGATCACCATAACAAGGGCCAAAACAGGTGTTATAGACATAATAAAGGTCTACAGAAATATCTAGAGAACTATTCGCAGCTTAGAACACCCCACATTAAAAGCAGTGAGTGAAAAATGTACCTCTAACTTTGAAACTGCCTGTGTATCTGTACATTACTGAAGCGTTATGTGGCATACATAGTTCGCCCATTTGCTCGAAAAACATATCCGATGTACACATTTTTCTAAAAATAACGTAAAACAGCATCGACTAATAATATGATGGTGCGAAGGTAAAGCTGTTTTTTGTCACGTTAAAACAAGTACATAAAGGACCGCTTTACCATATGAGCGCACACAATTTCTGTTGTTAATTTACAGCAGTTTAGTCGTAAGTGTTTTTACAAACTTAACAAATGCCTCTGAGAAGCCGATAAAAAAGAAGTCGGCTGAAGCGAGTTTTTCGTGGCTCGGTATTTACTGCTCTTAGACTTCCGAATGAATTTTTATAGACTTAACAAACTTAAGCATATAGGCCGTAGAAACCAGGACACGTTTTCAGGAACCTAACAGAAATCGCAACATAAAAGGCGACTAACTTACGATGGTTATACTGGCATTCGTGCGTTTCAACAAGTTAACCTAATACTTATTCTGTAGCAGGCATCCTTCAGCAATATTTTGTAGATATAAGCGTTTTTATTAAATAGGCAAATATGGTATTAAGCATTTCCATTATTGCTTATTAGTTCGAGACAACAATGTATCCTTGATTATTTACTTAAAAAGCACGCATCTGCTTGGCTAAATAGCTGCATTGGAAGCGAGTGACTGTTGCCGCTCGACTTGTATGACTCAGCAGTTGTAATGTCAGCATATCAGTGTTCAGCAGCGCTAAAACCTATAAAAAAAAAGGTTGACATGAATCCGATGTCTCCTAAGTATAAACCGTTCGATTGGTGAGAGCAAAACGAAAGTAGAGACAACAAATTACATATCTGGCGGCTTTCAATAATTCGTATTCCGTCACCGAGTTCAACACCTATGCACATATGTAGTAGCAGTCCTAATTGCTTTCAATATTTTTCTGGTTGTAAATTTAAAGGTTGCGGTAGATACGATACGATTTTCATCCGCTAAAAATGCAGTTGCCTATACGATGATACATCGATCACTTGATACTGAACTTTTGATATTACCTTACCAGAAATTGAAAGAGGTTTCTTGCTTAGCCAAATGCTATTGTTCATCCCAAGAAGGGATACCCCTTATTCATGCAGACGAGCAGCGAGGAAATTTAATCGATACTTATAATTACTTATATATACGTATTATACTCTAATCTCATAAGATCTATTCGGTGTGATTTTTGTATTATGTAGGGCGTAATATTAATATACCATTGTGACGTATTATATACTTCCTATAATTCGATATTTTAACAGCGCTACGCTTTTTTTCCTGTTTTCAGCTAACTTTTACCTGTAGAAATAACAAGTAAAGCTATTTTCTGTTTCTCTGGTGTTTCGGAATGCGTCATTGGCAAGTTATTGGACCGTTTTCCAAATCGAATTCAAGCAACCTTCGTAGCCGCCAGCGTTTGCCTCTCTATCCTCGCCGTAGGTGTCATCATAGCTTTCAAGCATTAACGATTTGTAATATTCCACGCCTGCTGTTTTCTTTAGCTATGCCTTTAGCATCAGTTGTTATGTATTTCTCTATTAAATCCAAAGTCTCTCTTCAATTTAGCCTCTCGGGTGTCCTTTTTTGCTAAGTTTCCTCCATTCACAGTGCGCAACTCTGATCCCCTCCAGTCCAGGTTGGCTCCTCGGTCCTAGTGGGCTAAGACCGCGAAGCTACCAGAAAGCTAATCTCCAAATATGTAATAAACATATCTAATCTTGCGGTTGCTGAAACACTTCGCATAATCAGGCGAGTCTTTCGATAACTCGGACGTTTACCCGACTGCCAAGATGACGCTAAATAGTGGCAGTCAGTATATGGATTTCTCTACTTATAGGAGTTGGTTAGAATTTGTTGAAACGTTCTCGTTCGTTTTTCTACCGCGCTACCGCAAATCGGACCCCACTTCTTGTGGACTCACCATAAACAAACGAGCAGACCGATGGCAGATCTGCCGTATCCCTGCACACACTGGCGACCGAGTCGCCCATGCCGCAGCGTAGTGTCTTCTGCGCCAGCCTCAGTTCCCCACAGCATCGCTAGTAACGGCTAACTGTTGACGACGAATCAACCTAGGCCATAGAAAGAGAAAGCCCACCCCACAAAGGTACCAGCAGAAGCGCCGTTACCATAGATTAGTAATCGATTTATACACAACTGTAGTAGCTCTTTCTCTATTCGCTATTTGAGGACGGGAGACACTGTCGTACAGTGTCGTCTGTATGTGTCTAGTCGTGTGTTGCTTTTTATCTCCTAGTTTCCGTACTATGAGATGGTAGAGCCAGTGAGGTTGACTGTCGATATCTAATAGTCTGGGTGTGTGTGTGTGGCGACCCATGCCGTGCAGTCGCAGTGAGGAAGCAGACTCCTGCTGCTGCCGCCACTGGCGTGTTGGTGTGCTGCGCCAGGAGGCGCATCAAATCAAACGGGCAGAGCTACTCGTTTATCAGCGGGTTGCCAACAAAGGCCGGTAAAGAACGACGGGCAAGAAGGCAGGTAGGCAACAGAGAAACGAGAGAACGGTCGACAGCTTCATTAGATATTGTCATTTGGCGACGGCACCGTCACTTAGCCGGCGTAGTGACAGACGCGCGCCGGTGACTGGCTGTGAATAGGCTTGTTACTTATGCACAGACACAAGTCTCCCGCTAGAGAGTATGCGTTTCTTTCTTTCCAACAGCGCTTACTGCTGTTGCTACTAGTGAATCCAAAAGGAGGGGACAGGACGCGAGCGTATAGGTGACTAGAACGACAAAGGGCAAAAGCAAAGTGCATTTGTTGCGTAGAGGTCACAACAGCGACTCGTACGATCCCGCTGCGACGGCTGCGACGGAGAAACACCAGTCAGTTGGTTTTTCGTGACTGAGGTCAATTGAGCAGCTAGGCAATCGCCCACCATTACAAACCCACCAGCATCGCCGCGCTCGGAAGGGCAAAACCGGCACCACGACGTGGGAGCTGCACTACAGCAGCTAACAAGAGGTATAATTTTATCAAGAGGAGTAAGTTGAACATTACAGCTGCCACCGAAACAGCAGGTGGACGTCGCCTATTGCACTGGTTACTTAATAGTATGGCTTTCGGGGGAATCAGTAAACAATAATAGTAAGCTACGGTGTAGCTATCGAAAGTGTAGGCTTGTCGATAACGTTATTCGGAACATAGCGGAAGACAAATGTTATAAAATTGTTGCAGTGACGATGCTGTGGCGGTGACATCGAAACAGGAAGCAAATCAGCTGGACGTTATCGTTTACTATTAGTATAGCTCAAATAAAGCTTCCATCTGTGTTGTTGGCGGTGGCGTATCGGTGTGGAGAAAAACGTCGGTGGTTCACCAGGTAAGGAACGCGGTAAATTTCTAGTTTCGCATACGCTTGCCGAAGCGAATAGTTTTGACAGTTTTTGCAGAATGGTTTCACTAGAGGATTGACGATTAACCAGTGGGGTAGAAAAACGGGAGTTTGTTCTACGTACGTGAGCGTATTTAAATCGACTTATCATTTATGTGCTATATTTTGCTCTAAAACACTCTAGGTTTTGCTTTGCAATGCAGAAGGCCAGGGAATATTTATATAACCAAGCCATATGACGTGCAACAATAGGATGCTGATGCTCGTCTGTGTTTCTGCTATTGGATAATATTAACATATAAGTGAATTTACTGGCATGCTGTTTGTGTTGGTGCAGCGAAGAGCACGAATTCCTCGTACAAACTGAATAGTTTCTATTATTTCTGTGTTATAATTACTGTATCGGCGGCAGTTGCGGTAGTAGTTAAGAGACTCTGATGTCGCAAGTGCCGGAATGATAGCACAACCTCGTATCGCGCATAGAGTGGTACAACTATTATGCACCATGGGTCAAAAAAATTGATAGTCAATCCATTAAGTAAGGTAATCGATTTTTTTTTTGTTTGTAAAGGTACAGTCGATTGTCGATTCTGTTTCCATAGCTATATCCTACAGTATTCGCTCCATGGTTAAGCTATTACAGATAAGATAAAATAGAAAAAATCCTCCTGAAACATTACTGATACCTCTAGCCAACTCCATGCGTGAAGTTCACTTGTGGCTAAACCATCCACAAATATCGCGCTGCGGCAGATTTCTTCGTCATGTTCACATTCATAGTCGTAGAAAACAGCGCGCGTGCCGGTATTTGTCAACCTGGTTCCCCTCTTCAGACTTGTCGCTTGACTTTATTGCTGGCTGGAGCGTTCGCAGCGCTTCTGCCTTCAGGAAAATAAGTAAAAACAACCGCAACATCGGCAGCAGTCGCAGGAAAGAAGGATGCCGTCGTATCGGCTCTCTCAGTTTTTATGCTGTTTCTATAATATGTAACTGTGCAACAAAGACGAACAGTAGAAAGCAGGCGTCCTGTGCTGCGACCAACAGTTCGTTCAAGGTATTTTTAACTGCTTTTATTGTTTTTAGCCATGTTGTTAATGTAAATGCTCGTTTTTCGAGCAACAGAGGTACCAACAACAACAGCATTAACGATCGAATCAATTAACGCTGTGAGCACAAACCTGCTAGCCGATAGGGGTTGGTGCAACTATTCGTCCGAACTAGTTTCCTTTTGGACAACCCCTCACCCCACATGTTTGTCGTTGCTGGACAGTTTTCGTCAGCCCGTCTTGCTTGGTTTTGTTGACCATCTGTCGTTGGAGGCACCTTTGCAACGAGCGTAGGCTTGCAAGACAGCGATCAATATATTTTGCAACGAATTGTAGGGCTCGGATGACACTGGAATCGATTATACGTATTTGCAAATACACTGTTTCCTCATACCAACGATCTACGGATTCAATTCGTAGCTCGAGTTCAGTTAGTTGGCAACAGTTTATAGGGAATAGTGCTAAAATGATTGACTTCGCAGTGTAAAAGTTTGTGATTTGTTTATACATATATATATATATATATATAAATCGGAATCGATAAGAGCAAGAAAGTTGTCGGGATTTCAAAGCGATGTTTAACTCTACCTTGCGCTATTTAGCTATCAATCCCGACCTAATAGCTAATGAGTCTAGCTGAACAAGATGGTCAAAGGGCAGCAATGGCGATCTATTTAAAAAGCTAACACCCATCAGGAACTGACCTCGAGTTTGTCTTTGTTGTGCCTCATGCAGAGCAAGAAACCAATTGCTGACAGTAGGAAAAACCATAGACAGACCACTGGCCAATAGGCAAGCAGACCTAATAGAATCTGGCGTTATTATCACGATATCTAAGCACCTTGAATAATGTCATTGCAGTTAAACGCGTCACGGTATAGTGTATCGATTTGGAATCGTTTGTCCCAGAAGCAGTACGTAACTGCTGTGCCGTCTTACGACCAGGATCAGAAAGAAAGCCAAACTACGCCAAAAGCTGCAGCGTTGGAAACGTGTTTAGCTTACTTATTCGTATAAGAAGAAAAATTTAGGAACCACTAACGTATACGCGCTTGTTGCTTCGGAGAATACAGCCAGTGTCTTACGCACCAAAATTTCCGGCCGGAATATTTGCTGTGAGAGCAATAACGAGGGGCAAAAAACGTGTGGAGTGATTTGAGGAAGGCATCAATTATTCTAAATCTCAATATATTACATAACAACGCCAATAAGAATATGGTTTTGGTGATGAAGTTGGCCTCCGGCCAAGTTGCCATGCTGAAGATGACAGCTTCAAACCACGGCGCTCAGGTAGCCGTGCTTCATCAGCTGCAGAAAAGGGCCCTCAGTAATAACCAACGAGAACGACCCCTGCTCACAGGTTGGTATATAAGTGATTAAAGATTATCTTGATTATTATCATAATTATTGTTGTCGATTCCGCATGCCGCACGAAAGCATAATGCTCTAACAAGCTGGCCATTAAAAAAGAAGTGTGACAGAGATGCGCTGCTTGCGACTTTGATTAACTGCAAAAGAAAAAAAAATTAGATACATTATCGCTCTTGACACAGAAGTACTAATTGAAACTCAGAGAGCTTCGCGTTGTAACTGTAATCGATACGAATGAAATATAGTATTCAAGGATATTTCGATTGACAACGCAAGGTGCCAGCCGAATAATATACTCCTATGTAAGTATGTAACAACCTAATTATATATTCGATCGTTTTCACTATCACTAGGACAATAATAAGATCAGAACTTTTAGTCAAAGATGAAGTTTATTTTTGAGATAAATCGATAACCTTCTGATATGCCTAGCAGGGCTGCGTGAAGCTCTCGGACACAGTGTTAAATAACAGTTAACATAACTAGTATAACATTAGGAATTTGTCGCATTTAATAGATTTCATAAAAGAATAAAGTACGCTGATCGTGCAAGATCGTTAAACAAACAAATTGGAGTCATTCAAGATTATAAACAATTCATTCAGACACAGATGCTGGACAGAGACGTTTTGAATTTTAGTACATCATATCAGCCAGTCATGGAACATCCAATTTTATGATAACAGCTCCTCTGTAAATTAAGCTTCCAGTTTATAGTATTCTATATGTCTAAAATTATAATAGCAAAGGAAGAGACAACAAAACACAAACGAGCGACAATACTAGTACTTTTCCGCATACATTGATTAATTAATTTTATCCTCACATATTTCCTCATGTTGATTTTTGCACAGTTAGTCGATTGCACTCACCAATCAAGCCTCATTTTCAAAAACACTGTCGATACAATGGGACTATTATTACGACATTTACGACAGCAACGTCACCATTGGTATTTATGCTATTAGTTCTTTTGCTTTACGGTCGAGCTGCGCTGAACCACTGTCAAATCAGTTGGTACAATCATAGAAAAATCAAATAAAATCTTGGGTTACGTTGACGTTATGTAGAACATTATATCAGGTACAAACCCTTCAAATCCGTTTAAAGAGAGAAGAGGACGACGTATGCCTATGAAGCGTTGCCGGGGAAACAGGCTCTAGATACCAAGGATAGGATATTACCACCGCAACTCAACGTTTTATATCTCATAACCATAATGAAGGTGGTACAGGATGAATTTCATAGGATGCTTTCCACGATAAACTCATTTAACGCCGATGGCGCCAGCTAATTGCACTAATGGGTTTGTCCCCGTGACAGCTAACTGGGTAACGTTTTTGCCTGCTAACTATAGGGACATGTCATAGTCTAGGTTCGAACTTACTTGACATAGATAAACTTCATTACGTCGATACAGGGCGTGAAACTCGAAACATAGGGAATGCATTTGTATGTGAGTGTTACGTCGTACAGAAATACAAACATATAAAAGCTGGAAATTAAGCTAGGAATTCGAGACGTTTTTGAGGTGTTAATGACCTGAATTTAGGGTACCACGATTTAATATATGCAAACGTTTTTGAAAAGAAAACTGTTCTAATGGCAAAACTTTTATTTAATGCTAGCTGAATTCGAAACAGCGGTCCCTAATCTCTTACAACGTTTGAACGTCCAAGACACCGTGTCGATTATATAATTAGTAAAAATAGTGTACCTTTTTGATTAGTTTGACTTTGCTTATAGTATCAGCGATATGTAATAGAAGCACATTCGCGAGAATCATTTGTAATTCATGCGAGTAAATGGATTTAGCTTTGCTGAGTATAACTCATTTCTAGGTTTAATTGAGTAGCTCTAAAAATTATTCCATTTCTATGTCATTTATTCCAACGGCACTGATCAATGGCCTCTCGACATAGAAAGATGATTACCTGATAGCTATTAGCAGGAATTAATATCTTACAGATACGCCCTCAACCTTAAATTTTCCAGGCGAAAAGTTAAGCGAAAGCATGGAGCTGTTGCGCGCTCAGAAAAGCGACAATCCCCGTCTAGCCCTGTTACTCGTTTGGCTGGCCGCTAAACGGGCCCATCTCGAGGACTACTTCAGGTGAATTGGACGTTTTCGATTAAGCCCGTTGCCTGCTTGTCCAAATGTCTACACTACAACGATATATCAAATCATTTATCTGTGTTCGTAAATTAGGGACATAGGGAGCCGTGGTTTTCGCTGCCACCCCAGACGGGCGTAAATAGTATTAACTGTGCTAGCTACAGTATAGTATGTCAGTACATCCTTAAGCAGAACATATTCGTTGATGACGATGTTAAAATGTTGGGCGATGTTTTAATTAAAAAAAAAAAAACAATTTGCAGTCGTTCCAGTGAATTTAGAACAATTCTCTTACAATTATTTAGTCTCGGACGATTATGAACTCTTAGATATTTCCCAAACTAAGAGTCGGACTATTATCGTTTTGCTATGTTTTATTTACTGAAGCATTCTGAGCCACCGTAAAATGCATTGCGTCCGAAAGTCTCTAACTTGGATTTAGCTCCAAAGTCTACTATCAGACAGAAAGAATACGCGACACCCACAAGCTTCTCTTTCATTGTGTGAACTATTCTTAGTGATCGAATTCACCGCATTCAAGTGCCTGTTTGGCATGGTTAGTATTAACTTGCGGAGACACAAACGCTCGTAAAGTTGTTTTCCTTGCAACAACTTATTGTTACAGGTAAGAAACAATTCTAGGCCTGAAAAAATATCATTATTTACATAGAAAAAAATTTCCTGAAATTCGTAAGCCTTTACCCGTTTCTATTCTTGCTTTCCGTCTCACGAATGAAATGACCACGAGCACAACGGTGCACAGGTGCTGAGAGATAAGATTTTTTTCTCTCTTACGAAAGATTCTATCTGGACAACGGCTTCGACGTACTATGGGTCCAGACGCACCCACGTGCGCTCATAAGGCCAGCAGCGCCAAAGGGCTCACAAGAAATCGCTCAAGAAGTGCTCGATTTCCTTCTCGCCGAGAAAAACCGTTGTTATCAGAACATGATGCTGCATGCATTCAGCATGGGCGGTTATCAATGGGGTGAATGTCTGCTGAAAATACACAGGGAACCCAAGAAGTATGAGCGAGTCGAGCAAATCTTAAAGGCACAGGTAGGTTTGTTTTTGCTTACATTATTATTATTATTACCATTATCGGAATAGTAAGTACGATTCTCAATAGTAGTTAAATTCAAATAATTCCAACTGCTTGTAGGTGTACGATAGCTGCGTTTCACTCAAAGGCATGGCATACGGCATTCCGGGCGCCCTAACACGGAATAAGGCGCTCCGGTTTATCGGAACTGCGAGTATGTATGCCTATCTTACTTTGGCGTATCCTTGGGCTACTCGTCATTATCGTAATTCATCGGATACCTTCCGCACGAAGCCGATCCTTGTGCCTGGACTCTACTTCAACTCCATGATCGATCAGGCAAGTCGAAATAATCTCAAACGAAATTCCCTCTTAACATAATTTTTACAGGTGCAAAAAGCTATGTTATACTATCGCGTAGTTGAAAATTTCGACCTTGCAGAAGCATTTCTAGTCCTCTTGTGGGACAGAACAAATTAAAAAAGATCAAAAGTATCTAACTTAATGTGGAACGCCGAAGGGTTTGCTTAGAAATTCCTTAGTTTTTGTTGGAGATTCCACGTATTTGCGTGGCTTCTCCCTTAGTCATATACTTTTTTCTATAGGGAAATACATTATTTATTAAAGTTAGCATCTGTCTGTAACATAGTATTTATTTTAGCCGGAGACAACGTAAATACAACTGATTTTTCGTGGACAATCTGCATGCCTCTGAACGCTAGGGTAAGCCAGAATGTAAAATTCGTTCTTCTTTGTATATATATATATGTATTTTTTTTTTCTGTGGTTATAGGTGAGTAACCCGCGTATCGACCGCGAAGTTGTAGAAGTCTGGCAATCACTTGGCGTCGACATGAAACTGGTCACCTTTAGCGACACGAAACACGTCCAGCACCTCGGAAAACATCCTGACAGGTATCTATTCTGATTTAAACTCCTATTCCTACTAATATGCCTAATGCCGATTGCTTTCAAAAATACGGTCAGGTTCCAATTTGACCGTCATGTTCTATTATTCCTAGTGAATGCGCAACCAACTATAGTTCTTCGACTTATGACAATCAATGTACTTAAAAGTCATTCGTGGATTATAGCGTCTATTCCAAATTTTAAAAAAGTGACGATGCAATGATGTGATTCGTGAGTGCATGCATCAATCAAAACCGAACTGATCACGTATTCATACCACTTATCTACGAGGGTGAGGTGACTGAATGACTTCGTTAATATGTATGTCGCTCGTTTTTCTCAAGGCACGTTAGCTTTATTGAGCTCTTGTAAGCTGAAGTTGTCGCGTGCAGGTAGGTATCTTACCGTTGGCTTTATAAAAGTTGGAAGAACTCATAGCCTATTACGAGACACGTGTCATTTGCCTCCGCAGTGACAAGATAGTGCTAAAAATAATTTTCACCAATAAGGAATATTACCGTAGCGTTCAGATTGCGTCAGCAAGTGCAAGATTGCTGCCTAGCCGCGGAGTTAGCAAGGGATGATATTGTGAAGATGCTTTTTAGAGAGAGGAAGAGGCCAACGTTGACGAACTGGCACTAAAAATAATAACATGGTTGGCATTATGATTTCGATTGGTGCTGATGCGAACCGATCGAGCTCAGTTAGGTGTCTCAAGACAACGCGGAAGTAGTTCGGAAGTTTTGTCCCCTCAACCACTGAAGGTCGAGGCATACGCGTTTTTAATGTTAGGGGATGTCCCATACTACCCGGTTGGGTGTTAATCTTTTTGAAAGCTGCCCGTAAATAAAAAAGAACTAAATATATGTCGTTTTTACATTATGACGGTATGCACAATCTAAAGTTTTGCCATTTTTAACCGCTGCAAGTGCTATTTTTCTCCACGTCTATTCGCTATGCCAGCATCAAACGGCTAAGACTAAAAGAGCTATTAGAGTGATGACATAGGGTTTTTATGATCTATATTTTCTCTGAGGTTCACTCAATAAGTTCGATGCTTATTTTCTATTAGAGTCGCTGACGTATATTCCAAAATACAAGTTATCATTAGAAGCCGGAATACACATAATCAACATATATATAATAACACTATCGAAAATTCCGATTCAAGATATTCAAGATGAGAGCTTATTTATGACGTCGTTTCGTGACGTTCTTCATGCTAATTTCAGGTACACCGACGAACTTGTCTCATTGATGAACAAAACGATGCCTGGCCGAGGTGAGTGGTCGGGGGATTACGTTAAAGCCGACATTATTGCCCGACAACAAGGCCGTGCACTGCAGACGTCGGTTCAGGCGAATAAGGTTCTGTAGAAGGTTCAGATTTTGTTCTAGATAAATATGATGAGTTAAACCGTATATCCGCAATTCACTGTAAGCCTTACCCAGTTCTCCTTCTCCGTTTCAAGATCAAATATATTTCGTACAAACGCAAATAATTCTGTATAAACTGCATAATCAGCGCAGACTTACGGCCCTGTACAGGCACGGACAATCCACCCGGCACAAAATCAAGTTAATTGCATGCGGCCATAAATTAGGAGGCAAAGTTCCTTTCGAAGCATCGCCCTAAAATGCGCCGAAGGCCTGAAAGTGAAGTCCCATCTCGAAGTTAATTAGTATCCATGTGAAAGGAGACTCAGGCTACGGGGCGGCGTTTTCGGAAAAGCAGTTCACTCAACACATGGATTTATGTAACAACCATAGTTTGAAAGTAAGGTCAAATATATAAATTTAATATTACACTATCATTATTATTATTAATACTACAATTTTCACGACATAAGAAATAAATGACTAACGCTTATATATGTATGAGAATGTAGATATATGGATATAATAAGTGACAAGTAATTGTGCGTTACGCTCGTGTAATTGTCTGCAAATGGACATACAGATGGATGGGCCCAGTCGTCGGGCACACGCACCAGTTAGCCATACCCATTTCGAAAATTCATAGCAAACATGCCCAATGCAACATATGTATTTTCCTACACAAAACAGAGACAAAGCACTGGAAAAAAATACTACGTGGAACAAAGAAAATCACATCAACCAAACAAATGAGTAGCATTCGCATACATATATATATATATATATATATATTGATAAGGATTTAATCTGTGTTGGTATATAGTTGGAGGGTCCAAAGTGTACGAGGTTTACCTATAAACAGACGCCAGTGACTGTATACAATATATCTTGTTAAACGACGACAACAGACGTGTCTATTGGAACCTAGACAGAACAGGGCGTCTAGCGCTTTTTAGGCATAAAACGAGAAAACCCTAGAGAAGAGCACGAACAATGCATTTGTATAACCTGCAAATTTGTAAAACCTATATAGTTAATACGAGTGAACTAATTACTCGATGGAGGGAACAGAACGCAACATATGTAAAATGTGTAGCAGAGGTGCAACACATTTAAATACAAAATGTAACGAAATAAAAATGATCGCTAGTGGCAATATATGAAAATAATGATCACCTAATTATTTGGCCCCGAGTGTCCACCTTCTAAATAAGTGAGTCGTAAGTCATCGGGTCTTGTCTTTTAAGTTGTACGCCCTAATGTGTCGTTAAGTACTGTTTCTGATCGCTAACCCCCAGCATGCAACCAAGTTTTTTCAAACCTTTTAGGAGTATTTTTATCAAATGGTAAGGATAATAACGTATCGCAAACTGAACGTAAACTTTTTGCTTTCTAATTTTTGGCGATACCGGCTACATTGTTGGCTTCGCAATTTCGTTGATGAGCTCGCATCTAGGTAACAAATATTAGTGAACCTTGTCCTGTCAAAGCGATGCTCGTCAGATTCTAAATCGATAAGATCCTTATCAAGACCTGTGGCTCCGTTGCTTTCGTTGCGCTTCACGCTTTCCATTTAGAAAAGCGAAATCTATTTACTCCCGTTGTATCAACATTACCGATGGATAGTTTCTTCTAGCGTATATGGTATTTCTGAGTTTTTGACAATATTGGTGTACTACGCACTAAACCTGTGCTTATATTGACGTTAATTTGCGTTATTTTTCGGTTGTCCCATAGCTAGCCATTTGTGCAGTAACTGTAAATTAAAATTGTTGCATACAATTCTTTCTTAACGCAAATAGGGCTAATATTATTCCCACTTTTGTAAGGCCTATGGCTTTTTAGATAAGCAGATTATCTAAATAGAGTAAGAGGATTGTGGGTGTCACCAAATAGATTCCTTTAAGATTATGCCTAAATATAAAATCAAATGAAGCAGTGGATTAATAATATTTAATTCAGTTAGTTGAGACGTATAGTATAAAATTCTTCAGGGATGAAGCCTATAATGTTCATTTTTTTTATTATTTTGTTTATTCCTGCAAAAAATATTATGATTGTGTGGAGTAGGCAGGAAGATTTCTACGTAATTGGTACCAAAACAGGCATGGTGGCCACAAATCTAGAACCACTATTTTAATATAAGAAAAATTTGGCTTAAGGGATCATATTAGCAATGAAGCGCTCGTGATCGAGAGAAGCGCTCGTGTAGAAATTCCTATAATCATGACAAAAGAGCAACGTTCCTGGTTTCCGTATGAAACCCAAAGGTATTTAATCTTGAATGGTGTGTTGTAATCATAAGTTCTAGGCAAATTGGGTCTAGAAAGACGATTGATACTAGCCCAATCCATACAATAATAAAATAATGCAAAATTAGAAAATTCTAATAATAAAAAAATATTGATATCTGTAAAAAAGATGAGAGGAGAAAAACTCGATGTGAAGTCTTGTACAAACTTCAATAGCAAAATAAAGAACCAACAATAATAATATGATAATAAAGAAGGTCAAGAAGGTCTGTGCTTGACCTTCCTACTACTATCATATTCACAACCTTAGCCCTCTAGCAGGATATATTTATACCTTTTTGAAAACACCCTTCAACAACGCCCATGTGAAAGTCATATCTTTTAAGTAGACCGATTTTCACACTCAATGGCATTTTCCTATAGTAAATAATCTTTCTATAGGGCGCTTGTATCTAGAACATGTTTATGTAGTAAAACACATTAAACATATCCTCTTAAGCCTTACTTCAAACGCTACTAGAGTTGCTTAACTTGAGTTGACTCGCGTAACTGTCGGATATGAGTGAAGTCTTACGAACGAAACATAAACGTGCTTTTTTTTGATAATCTCAAAAGATAGACAAGCCAGTTTGATAGACACGTGAAACTACAACGACCTTTTGGCAGCTCCCGAAAAGGAATAATTTGCTTCCGTTTTGTAGTTCGTAAAAAACTTAATTGAATTTAAGATTTTCTTCGTGTTTCGTTTTTAGTTGGCACTTGTACATGCGCGAAATTGGTGATGCACTGTTGTAATCTTTGACAACATATCATTAACAGGAACTTATTATTTTTAGTCTGCTTTTTTCTCTCTTTTCTCTAAAACTTTTGTGGAGTGCTATAAAGTGGCTGTGAAATAGACATGACCTCATGATTTAAGAAAACTAAGTATCACTTAAGTGTAACTCTTATGGCTCAAACCGACAACTCCAGAAGTTCTGAAGGGCTGACCTATATAGAGCCGAGCGACTTCATCACTGAATAGAGCAACAGCAAGATGTTCTCATCATAGTTATTATTATTCAACACATGTATCTAGAAGACCACTTCTGGCCAAGTATACAATATTCCAAGTCGAGATAAATGGTCCACCAATGATAACATTTTTATAAAATATATAAATTGTTATAGGTTTCCCAACACACAAGTATTGTAGTAATAATAAAGATGTTATTATTAAAAAATATAATATGAATGTAGTTGAGACTACGGTAGTTATGATTGCCAATAAGTTTAATACATTTTACATTTGTTCAGTGTACATTTTTGAAAAAATGGAGGCTTTTTTGGTAACTTGAAAGAAATAATTATCTGAAAACTATTTACCGTGAAAATTCTGCTGTAGCTGCTTTTCCCGCTGAAGGGAATATTTTTTTTATGATGAACTTATTTACCATTATTCATATTGCAAGTAGTAAAGATTTCATATAAATTATCAACAGGGCTCGAAAATACCCAAAATATACATACCTTTTTTTAATCAGCGTGCTGATGGTTCCACAGGGTAAACTGACATTTTTTACTAAATTATTAATTTAAAATATGTAACACAGGTAAACATTTTTAATGCGTATTGCAATTGCTTGCGTCTGAGAAGATTTGTCAAACGCAGTTTTGGTCGAAATTTTACGGTGAGTGTGCCTTTTTATGGGCAAACACCAGCTAAAATACTAAAAATACTCTAAGATTAACTGAATTTAAAAAAAAACGTGTGAGAGTAGTAGTTATTTAAAGCGAAAAGATCTATCGAATGATGAAGATGCCAGATTTTCGTCTAATCTGAGAAAATCTAATATTTATACGCGCGTTTAAATCTTGACGAGAAATTATGTTCTCGTGCCTCGTTTCTGATTCTCATAGTTCGCAACGTCAATGCGAAAAACGGCTGACTGTGTTTTGCCAATTATTACTATGAATCCAAACTCTCCATTCACAATACTTATCTTCGCGCCATAGGAGCAACTTACCAGTGTGCGTATAAAACTTAAAAGCTGGTTTCTTGTAATGGTGAAAGATGAAATTGTTTTTACAGGTAGCACTAAGCTCTCAATAGGCGCTTCATGCGTTGACATAGACTAGTATATACTTGGGGTTATAGTCGAAATAAGTACTATACTGTCTATCGCAAAATAAAGTAATGACAACCTAGAGCCTAGTCCTTTTTCAAAAACCGATGTCTCACAAGCTTCCACGGCCGTCGCAGGCGATTAAAACTCAAAGAACACCAGTAAGTAATATAACTATTAAAAAGAAAACTGACATGCTTTTCTTTCACGTTGCTTTCTATTCATAGCTTCCTTTTTCACTTTATTAATATATCTATAGCATACCATTCATGTTCATGTACAATTATTTTTATAATTACACTTTGGGATTACGTGAAGATAAGAAAATATGGGAGATGCTGAAAAATGCTACTCAGTAATCCCCCAGCAGATCATGGTGTATTTCAGTGAAAAATCGTAGAAAAGAGGATAGTCCACAGGATCAAACATTTGGTTGGTTACTTAACCAATGAAGTTCATGACGACTAGATGCAGGACAACGTGGGCAAAAATAAAATCGCCAAACGCGCGTTGTGTCGATAGACCTAAAAACTCATTCTTGTTTGCTGGGTTCGACTGCAGCCGAAGACACACTGAAAACAAAAAGACGATCCTTGACATTCGAAACTTATTACGAAAACTATAACGTATTTAGAAAGAAGAAAAATTAACTCGGCCATACTCATGTGTGTGATCGATCTTATTAATATAATTATTTCCTGAATTATTTTTGAGATATATATCTTATTATGTTGAGTTTTAGTTAGAAAATGTATCGACCTTTCGAAGATATCGATCTTAAACGCAGTATGCAGCAGCGTATTTTTTAAATAAAGTCGATAAAATACGCTGGATACATATTTACACATGTATTAAATGTAACATCTATCTGCTAACCGTTCATAAGTTTCGAATAAAGGTTTGAAAAAAATAATTTTTTGCGTAGGCTAGGATGCAAATAGGCTAAAGTAAAGTATGTTCCGTTACCAATGCCACTTGTGAAATATTTTAGCAAAAAAGTATGCGACTTATGGCATTGGTTAGATTTAAACAAACAAACTTACAAAGTATAAAATTTGCTATAAAGATCAATTCAATTATAATAATTAAAACAAACAAATAAAAGCTACAATAAAATGTTATACAATGCTATACAAAAGTAAAACAATCGAAACAAAAAAAATTCAATTACTTAAACATTTTTGTGACTTATTTTCGCGGCCCTGGTTATCCTCACATTGTATTCTCTCTTGTCAAAATAACACATTTTAAGCATCATGCTCCCATTGCCTCTAAAGACGATAAAGATATCTGTTTCTAGGCGCATCATTCACTAACACAATACTGCACCTACATATTATTGTGTAACACAAAAAAATGTATTTATGAGACAGTTCCTTTAGAATTTTTCAGTTCTTATATATGTATATATATACATATATTTTTTTTGGTACGTACCTCCGAGCACAAATGAGGCAACACAGCTGATGAAGCCGGACAGGAATGAGTTGAACGGGAACGTGCCAACCAGGCAGCAGTAGGCGAACTGCACGACGCCGGTCAGGAACACGTAGCAAAGATAGGCGTCAATGAGTTTGAGTCGACGCGACGTGCTCGTCTTATACTCATTGAAGAAACGGCCCAAAACCTCGATAAGGTTTGTGCTCTTAGCTGCTCCACCCTGTGTCATTTTGCGGTTTGTCGTTGAACGTTATTAGCTCGCTCGTAATGGAACGTCACTTATTACAACGATCTTACAAATACACCGACGATATCACTCTCTGTTAGAACTCACAGGAAGTCGTAAGGATGCGAAAACTATGCCACACCATCTACCGCGCAACGAACCCTACTAGCTAATCGGTTGAACAGTTTGTCAATAGCTAACATGAGCAACAGAACATTACTAGTCGGCTGTTTTGGCTTAGCATTACTATACTGACGTGGCCTAGCTGTTCCGAGCAACTTTCCGACACTTAAGCCTTATTTCATGGAACTCGTGTCGTATCACGTTTTACTGTGAACGAAGTGATTGTTTTTCTTTGCTTTAAGGAGAAAGAAGCCGAGTAAACTCTTTCGAACGTAGCCGGTGCAGTTCGGTGTGTGCATCATCCACTATCTAACACAGGTTTCGCTGAATCGTAGTGAGAAGATTTGGTAAGCGAAAATGATTATCCCGGTTAGATGCTTCACGTGTGGCAAGATTATCGGAAACAAATGGGAGGCCTATTTAGGTCTTCTCCAAGCCGAATATACCGAAGGAGATGCCATGGACGCTCTAGGTTTGAAAAGGTACGTGATGAAAGTTAGCATTATTAACTTATTATACCAGGGATATGCGCTGCTTATAACGTATAAATTTATTTATGTGATAATCTTGAACTTCGTAAATGAAAAACTCATTACTCAAGTGCCCTCATAATGTGCATAGATGGTTAGTTGGCTCCCATTTTGAGATCATGGCACTTATCCGAAACAAAGCAATTACGTCTCATAGATGTATTCTCAGTTACCACAATTTAAAACGTAATTTTCATGTACTAATCTTTTGCTATAGGTATAACGAGAACGTAAAACGTCTAAACGTTTCATTCATGCCTGTTTAAAAAACGGAAAACGAATTGTGATTACAAGTACAATATTAAGCTATTTATCCTTGCATTGCCGTTAATTGCGTGAAACAAATCTGCTGGAACAATAGTACGCTCAAAGATTGAATTATCTAACATTTCATGTATGAATGTTGCTTTTTAATTTCAGGTATTGTTGCCGCCGTATGCTTTTGGGTCACGTCGACATGATTGAGAAACTTCTCAATTACGCTCCTCTCGAGAAGTAGCTTGGATAAAGTTCGCCTTTTTTTTGTTGAAGGAGACGGGTTTAAATTCTACCGTAGTATAGCACATCTACCAAAACTTTGGCGACACAAATTCATCATGTTATCAATTTCCATTTGTAAATAAACACTGCAACAGTTCAGTAATTGAACATTATGCAGCGATGGTGTTGATTTTGTAGGTATTAGAAGTGGAATTGCAGAACTGTCTATTCTTCTTCAAATTAGCATCGATATTTTTATACCCCAAACCAGCATAATGCGCGTTGGCGAAATAGCTTCGTAAAAGAAGTAGTTTTGAAGTGGGAAGGTGTCAGACAAATCGTGCCATTGTGCAAGAATCGCATCCATATTGCTGGAGGATATCCCTTTGTATGCGCACAGAAATGGAATAAAGTCGCCTAAATGAATGAGGTCATCTAAATATTCAAGTATACAATTCGTTGTTGGTTCACTGCGCAGCATATATATATATATATATATATATATACATGAGATTTTCGCTTATGAGAAATTGGTATTTTTGGGCCTTTATACGCACTTCTTTTAATAACTCACTGAAGTGCTTAACTTTTGTTATGTTTCATTCCACTATAAGCGAACACCCTCGTTCAGTTCTTTAAAAAAATTACAAAAAAATATAACAATATCTAAATTTTCTATTATATTTATTAATAACTTAAATCTCTCTATTAAATTCACGTGTTTACGGATACTTATTGTACATCTACCGCCATGTAATCAACGTAGTACTTTCGTTGCCTTACATAGTGTCGAATTATCCCGCGCTTATCAGACTTTGCCATCGCCGTAGTCAATGCGGCGATGATGATGTCTGCTCCGCTGACGACAACACCAGAAGCAATCGTTCTGCTGATTACTGTGCCTTAGTACTGGGTGGCTCCTATCTGCTCTCGGCTTTCGATCAGTGTACAGCAGCAGCCAGTGTATGTGCCTGATCCTGACAAACGAAGTGTTCGATGGAGCGCAGGCTGAGCGGTTGGTAACTAACGGGAGTGCTAAAAATAGTGGTTGTATGGATCTGAATACAGTATATGGGTTCGACTGTATCATTAAACGGGTACCGAAGTTATAGCTCAACAGTCACACGTTCGTGTCACTTGGAAGGTAGGGCCGTTATAATTCGTATGCTGTGAGTTGCTGATAGCCCGAGGAAGTGTCAACTTGACCATTGTGTTTAGACGCAGCCTGACAATCTTCCCAAACAGTGTACAAATTAGAAAAGCTAACGAGTTTCGTTAGGCGCTAACAATACCTCAATTGGCTGTTCGTTCAGTCAGCGACGCAGACGTGTTCGTTCACGATGGCCACTGAAATTGAAGAGACTGTCAAGCGAATTCAAGCTCAGAAGGGCGTAGCCGGTAAATATATAATATTCTGCTTCGAAACGATACTGTAAAACTAACTATCAATATTTCTAAGACATTAATAATCAAAATGTCAGAGTTTAGATAATGGACGATCTTGGATACAGATTAAATTGGTTGTTTATGGTTCTGGCTGTTTCCTTTTTCAAGTAGTTCCACTTTAAGTGGAAAATATTGAAATATTGTAAACGAACTATGTACATATAATAAAATCATGTTGTATGTGGCTGTTGGAATTACTGTGCAAAAGAATCTCTCAGGGAATTGGAGGCGTTTTTGTTAAAAGTTAATTTGTCAATCCGCACCACTTTACTATACTAATAGTCATGCGTGTGTATGTAGCACACTTGAAAGCAATTATTCGTCAGCTTTTTTCACATCAAACACTGACACATAGCTCTTTTTAATGTTGAGTTTGCAATTTAAAATTATGAAGATAATACCGCGAGTGCGCACCGTTTTGCTGCCTGTTGTAACATCCGCTAGAATATTCTCGTTTCTTATTACCTATTCCAGTGGATTTGAATGTTGCGCAGGAAAGAGAGCTTAGTAATACTTACTGTAATAAATTAATATTATTCTATAACTCATTATTACGTAATTTGTAATTAATTGTACTTGTGCCGTACAAGCTGTACCAAGTTGATATGCTAACTTAGTAATACTTGAACTATTGACCTATGCACCTATTGGACATTTTAGTAGCAATATGACAACTGCATTCTCTATTATGAACTCGTTTAGGGTTGTGTGGTTATATAATTTGAGGAACGCGGCCCAGTGTAGTATTGCCGTACGTAGGTTGTTTTTGAGCTAATTATAGGGCTAATATGAAGCATTTCATGTAAATAAAATGAGAAAACCATAACGATGAAGGTTGTTTGATCAATTATGGCGGAGCAAATATCGGAGGCGTTTGACAAATACACGGTTTAAAGATAACACCCTTACGGGTTCTATAGCTACGAAGTGAACTGATTGAATGCGTGACCTGCCGCTAGAATTCGTAACAATTCAGTTCTTGCTAATTGAACTATTCTTTAACTTAATAGGTGTTAGGTACTAGTGGCGTAAAATTCGAGCCACCTAAGTCTTCTATTCCTCGTAGAATTATGGGTACTACGACGTTATTTTTTGGAATAAAGATTACTGTTTTAATAGTTCCTTAATTAAGCAAATACTTTAAATTTCAGATCCGGTACTGCAGTAAAAGATTTGCTTTGTAAAGTTTTGACTCTTACACAAAACCAATTTAATTTACTTAACTACACTTCCTTATGTATGCCTTTAAGATTTGAAGGCGAACTGTTATCAGGCAACCGTCACGGAAACCTTTGTTACACAAAAATTTAAACCAATTATACTTACTCTATGATGTAGTTTCATCACATTTACAATGGCCTTTAATTGACATTGTATTTTTGATGATAAATAAGTGTTGAGATGGCAAGTCTTGTGTACCATGATTATATCTGTGTTTATTGTGTCAAGGATTATGGCAATAGTATGCAGTGTCTATGGGCAATTCTTGTACTAACAACATGTAATCCGTTGACGATATTTGCAGGGGTTATTGTGACTACACACGAAGGCAACCCCATTCACTCGACGTTGGATGCTCCAACGACTACTCGTTATGCGACAGTTATATCCGGCCTTGCGGATTCAGCGAAGGCGGCGGTTCGCGAGCTCGACGCTGCGAACGATCTCACGTTTCTCAGGTGGGTGAGAAAAAAACATTTTTGCTTTGATTATTAACCAGTTTTATTAATGCAGACTAGCGAACTTTACTAACGGCTTTTAAGCAATAAGCAGTGCTTTTGCTCAAAAATAATAATAATAATAATAAAGTGAACTATTATTAAGTGAAACATAATGAATATATCAATTTTATTGTAAAAATGTTAATAAGTAATCTAATGGAATTTTGGATTGATAGGTGAAATATAAGATTATTAGAGATTTATTTAGAAGTAATTGTGGTCTGTGAAAAAAATAACTCATAAAGAGTATTAGTAATGAATCATTAACCACATTGAACAATCGCAATATCTATCTTTAGATATTGCGATTGTTATTGTTTATTATATTATTTAGATACTTAAATAATATAAGAAATAAACTAAGAGGGAATACACGTTGTTGAAGTTATAACAATATAGATCTTCACTTTTTTTACAGATTACGAACAAAACGACATGAGCTTATGATAGCACCGGATAAAAATTATATGCTGATCGTCGTACAAAATATAGGAACAGAATAGCGCCGTCACGACCAATTATGCCCTAATTATAAAAATGACGATAAAAAATAGATTGAAAGCAAGTTTGCGTCTGGGTTGTTATCTATCAAAACAATAATGAAATGAAATTTCAGTTCGTAATGTTTCCTACAGCAGGATTTAATTACAATTGCAATATCCCAGGATATCCTACTAACTTTCTAGTGCCATTATTACCCAATTTCAGCAGACTAATGTGATTCAACATATCATAATTTTGATTCAATGACAGAAGGACATGAACATTTTCCCGGATCAACAGTTAACTGTGTCCTTGGGGACAGGATTGTGGTCACTAAACATTCCTGTATATTTTGCAACTGCGTAGAAAATGTTTGATGACCCCGTGTAACGTACTTTATTATTTATTCTTTTATTAATTATTGCGTGCATTGGTTCGAATGAGTGTTATTATAGATGCAATTCCATTTACGTACGTGGGGCGCTAAATAGAGAAAACGAATTGATTAAATAGGACTGTGAGGCACACCGATAGATATCTATGAAGATGCTAAGTCTGCAGCTGTGAGATCGACATTCTTTATATCTAAAGATTGTGCAGCAAAATGTGACGCAGCGATCGCGTATAACCCAGATATCTCAGGTGGTACTATAGAAATGAATATGACGACTTAGACTTTCTTATGCAAAAGTATATACAAACTGAACAGAAGTGTCGGCATGAGAGGTTTTTCGTTACCGCCAAAAATACGCCAACCAGAAGAATTTCATGACACGCAATGGTAATATATATATAATAAAATCCTGCTTGCAGATACCTCGATGAAATCTGTGATTTATTGGAAAAAATAATAACGATGCTGTTTGGTAATAAATTTATTTTCATATTATGCTAATGTGTTTACGTTAACGTGCACTGCATTTAGAATTAATCGCTTGATATTTGTCAACTTTTAGTATTCCAAAGACGTTATCAGGCGTTATCCGTGTACTCGTTCTTTAGTAATGGTTGGGCTCAAATCTTTTAAATGATAGGGAAATTATGAAGTACTTTTATCAACAGTAGGTTGGTTCCGTAGACCAGATTTTACAGACTCGATGTTAGATTTCAACTAACATAATGTAACACCATCTTACTCGTATTTCTTAGCTTACATAGCTTTTGTATATCACTAAATCTCGGTCTTTACTATTCGGTTACGCTTGCATCGTTTATTTAGGCGGATAACGATAACCGAAACGACTGTTTCAAGTTACTTGCGACACCACGGAGACATTGCGACAGGAATCAGCCATCTGAAGCAATGCTTAATGGCAACGTAAAACTCGAAAACTGTATCGTAACGTAAAACTCGAAAGCTCCATCATAGTAGCAATCTCTCTGTCAGCTTGACTTTTACTTAAACGACGAACCTATAACTATATTCCGGTTAGCGCAGTGACAAATCTTCAATTTAGAGAAACGAAAGCACGTGATTCAGAAAAATTTGTTTTATTTTAGCACGCAGTTTCTAACAAAGAAACATGCTTCTTACACCACCATAACGGGTGTAAGAGTGTTTGCAAAATGTATTTGTGTTTGCTCTATCATATGATTATGTACAAAAAATATGGTAAGTTCGAATACAATATTATTAATATTTTTTAGCTGCTTGAAAGCCTGTTAATAATCGGCCCTCAGCCAGTATTTAGTAACTAGTAGTTGTCTAACCGACACAAACACACAACAGTACGCTTGTAATACATACAAAATTCACGCGGGTTGTAAGTTTAAATTAACCCCAATCCTGAAGAAGCTTGAGAGCCAACTTTTCGTCTCCTTGTAGGCTCAGCCCAGTATCAAGCTCGTCAACATCCTCCTCTATACGTCGTCGCTTGAGGCCGAATTTGCCCTTGGTTTTCATCTGCTTTTTTGGAACGTGCTGAGTAGGCAGATGATCATCTTCGTTTTCCTCTATTTCTTCCGAAGCGCTACTGTCTGCTTGTTTCCTAATGAAGCGTTTCCTGTCACCGCTTTTGAATTTTCGACGAACGAATCCAATACAATGCTTATCGTTTTCATCTATGGTTCCTGTTGATTGTTTTTCACTATCAGATGTTTCAGATTCCGAGTAACTACTCTCCGAATTCAATTTACCATTGAGAGACTCGTTCTCACTATTCACAGACGCGCTATCCTCGTTTTCAAGAGAGCTGTCTTGGTCTTGATTGAAAAGTCTTATTTTCTCACTGTCGGAGTCTACTCCGCCACATTCACCACCCCCACAACCAATGTCTAAGACCACATCGCCTCCAATAGCTGTGGCTCTTCGCTCTGCTTTAGCCTTAAGTCGTTCTTCACGATGTTTGTTTTTGATTTTTTCTCTATAAATTTGCTTGTCAATTCGATCTTGTTCCTGCATCAACTGTTTACTAAGCTCAATATTAATTCCTCCCTTTTCGTCAACACCTGCCAAAGGTTTACTTAATACTGTGTCCTCGGCATTGTCAACCCTCTGGCCCTGTTCATCAAATACAACCTTTTTATTCAACACTATGTGTTTCTTTCTTAGAACCTTTTTGGCGGCTTGAATCTTGGTGATAACCTTGTTTGTTTTAGCAACTCTTATCTGTTGCTCAAGTGACTCTAATATCGATGTAGATTCTTTTTCGTTTTTCTCTTCATCGCTGCCAGCCGAGCTGTCTTCCTTAATCTCGTTAGTGTCAATCTCACAAAATGGTTTACCTTTCTCCGTAAATATCTCTTCATCAGTATCAATCCCTATATCAAATGAGAACTTCTCTATTTTCTTCGACAGTTGGATCATCTTCGGCTTGCCATCATCTTTTTGAAACTCTTTCGAATCATCTTCACTATTGCCCGTGCGCGCTCGATCCGATTCCTGCAAATTGTCGCAACAGAATAACTGAAATCAAAGTTACCCAGCATGTAAAGGCTCAATTTAATCGTGTTAGTATAGACGTTCTATGAATGTGTCTTCATGGAAAATATAACACATAATAATATACCCACGCATGCCTTGATGTTGAGTGGAAAAAATAAGCCATATGAAAAATCATACTACAAAATCTATAATCTATATGGTAATAATCAGATCAGTTGTTTTCGACGTCTAATCAAAATGGTTTTCTTATAAAATCATTTTGATTAGAAAAATATCATGTATCTTCGTTAGTTTTTCAACGCATGCTTGGCACATGCGTATAATTATTTGAAAAAATGAGGATTGCTTTATTTGATAGTTATGAGGTTCATACCATTTGGCCTGACATCTTAATGCCTTTAGCTGCAAAGTACTTCTCCAGGAAACGAACTCGAGGAGTGATAATAAGGCCAAGGCTTCGCGCGAAAAAGTCTAGGCCGAGTTTCTCCACACTGAACACGGCTTTGTCCTTTTGCACAAACACGTACTTAAGATAACCGACAAAACAACGCTGTGCTGATGCCTTCAGCTCGGCATCACGAGCACACATCGCCTCCACCTTCCGTTGTATATCATAAAATCGCCGAGGATTCACTCTGAAAATTTACATGTGGCAATGAGGCGTTTAGTTGTTGATTATTCGTTGACCCCTTGGGAGACATGGAAAGTTTGAGAAATAAATTAAAAAATATTTTTTGAATGAAGTGAAATTTCAATCTGCGATTCCTGCTTAATGTAAAGAAGAAACGAAAATTGTCAGCTTCCGGAATGTTTGTTTTGTGGTTTTTACGGGAGAATTGTATTGTGATTTTAATTGTCACAATTTTAGCTGTTTTACATACAAAACTGTCGTATCAGAGCCATAGAAAATCAGTATGTAGTTCTTACGCGATTTTACTAATTGGAATTTTCCGCTCCACAAGTTGTTTGATCATTTTATCTTCTTCAGATGGGAGAAGAACCAATAAGGCTTTACCCGCGTTCTCGAAACGAGCTGTTCGGCCGACCCTGGTAATATAATATGCAATAAAAGTGTCTTGTGTAACAGTGGTTGCTCGACATAAAAGTCACGCTTAGATAAACGGGTTGACATAATGCAAAAAAGCAATGCACATTTTGAGGAACGTGAAATACACATTCTGTTGACATTTAATTTAGAGGAGATTGAAGATTATCAACGACAATGCAGAATCTGCCGATCCAGCAAATCGTCAATTGTATAAATACTGCTAATACTGAGAAAGTTACACCAATATTCGTACCGGTGAATATACGTTTGCGGATCTTCAGGACAGTCTAATTGGAGAACCCAGTCGACTTTCGGGAAATCGAGCCCTCTCGCTGCCAGATCGGTTGCTAATAAAATGGCCGATTGTTTCGAGCAGAACTCCTCATAGATAGCCAAACGCCGAGGTTGTGACATGTTCCCATGTAAATGCATAACTGTGGTTCCCGGCCGCAATCGCCGAATTATTGTGTTTATGAACTGGACCTGTTTACAACACGACATAAAGACGATAATTTTTTTGCTCCTGTGATTCTTGAGGAACGACCAAAGAAGGCTAAGCTTGTCGTGTAGCTCACAGACGAGATAGTTCTGGTGCAGTCGATCGGGGGTAACCTGTAGAATTCATATGTGACAATAGCAAAATGGAGGATTCACTGATTTCATACAGTTGTTAGTTGTAGAAGAGATTTGTGTGAGAACCTATACGCACTTCACTATATTCTTCGGTAGAAATTTAATGGATTTTGCGCTCACAAAGGCTTAAAGGCGTATGCCAAAAAAAAAAACGCTCGTCATTTAAAAGTAAAAAATAAGAATTTCTGAAGAACTAATAATATTTAAAGTTTAATCAACTTCTAAATTTTTTTACAGTTTGCCGATAGGCACTTATCAAACTAACAGAGTGTTTCAAACTTAACTTGAAGTTTCAAGTAACTAGAGCCTACCTGTTCAGCTTTCTCGTGTACGGAAATGTAACAGGGGTTAGTAAGTGAGAGCCTAGCGAGGTCCTTTACAGACTTTGTTTGGGTGGCTGAGAAAAGAAGCGTCTGTCGATTAGAGGGAAGATTCTCGAGGATGGCGTTCATTTCCTTCTCGAAGCCCATATCGAGAATGCGGTCAGCCTCGTCCAAAACTGCATTGAAACGAGAGGCAAACCGTAAGAAAACAAGACCGAATAGAACTATTTTTAATTCGTGTTAAAGGTACACACCTTTTTTTTTCTACAAACTTTTCCCGGCACTTTGGCAGCGTTTAGAAAGCCATATACCTACCATTGGCGTTTCTACATGTAATTTCTCTTTTATTAGTTTTTCGAAGTAAATCGGGTGTTGGAAATGGTTGCTCATTAGTTGCTTTTCATAAAGCATAAAAGGCTCCGTAGTCACGCGCATTTAAGTCGGGAGAAGTAGCGGCTTATAGCGAACGCTGGATATTCTTTTGCTCAACCCAAAAAGTAACTAAGGTTGCCATCAAGTAACTAGACCGCATGCTTTCGATTGCCGTACCAACAGTTCATGAGTTTCTTAAAAAATCGAGATAGCGGGTTCCATTCCTTGACTCGTTTTCGACGAGTACCTCATTGTAGCACGTGCCTCCAATGTGCATTGCGAGTAATACCATCACCTCACGCCCGAGCCTATTCAACACTGTTACTGAACTCGACTTCACTTCAAAGGGACACTATTTTCTGGCCTGGTTCCTCAATGAGCTGTTGGTAGAAATTGAGTAATACCTCGTCTATGGCGACTCTAAGCTCCAGGCGGGTTTTTTGTTGAGCAAAGTTCCGTAAATGGCATGTTCAGTACACCCTATGCTTTTCCAACTGACCTGGAGTAAATTCACAGGGGACTCATTCTTTACTCAATTTCCGTATTCGGTACTTGAGATATAATCCTGTAACACGCTAGCTGAATAAAACGCTAGTTTTAACCGACAGAGTTTTTCAACTCAAAGTTCCCCTTTCGTAAAAAAATCTTGACTGCGGCAGTGCGTTCTTGTTCTTTCGGTCGCGACATCTGGTCACTTTCTGGCTAGTCTTCAATACTCCAATTTTCATTCTTGAAACGTTTGCACCATGCACGTGCTACGTGTTCGCTCGAGTCCCTCTTGCTTAATATTTTCACCAATTTACGGTGAATCTTCGCAACATTATGGCCTTTGAAGAACAAAAATTTGACCACTGAGCGTAGATTTCTGGCATTATCTCTGGGCTCAATTCTCCTAGAGTAAACTTATCCGGTATTTACGTACAGGTTCTTAAAAAACTAGAATGTTTACCGAATTTGTTTTTGCAAGCGGTTTATGCCTCAGAAGTGATTTATTTTCTAAACCCGCTGGACTGGTTTTAATAGCTTAGTACTCTTGTTTTAATTATTTCTCACCGAGAACTTTAAGGTTGGTGGGGTCAAGAAGTGGGTTCTGGTCCATATGCTGGAGTAGACGGCCAGGTGTGCAGATCATTATGTTCGTGCCATGTAAACGCTTCCGCTCAAAGCCAACCTCCTGTTAAAAAAAGAGGACTTAAAGAGTAATAGCGAGACAAATGGCACAAACTAAAGCATAGTAATTCATTCACGACGGGCTAGATTTTAAACATACGAACTCAACTGTCATTACGCAATGTGGCCTATTTAAAGGTGAAAATAATGCTCTACATAATGTTATTTAAGAATAACAAATGTTAACGTAAATAAATGCTTCTTAGTAATTTCACTAATAAAGGATCTTGGCGACACAAGTGAAGAAGCGAGCGCGAAGATCTCTTGTTATGCTACAAAGTCATTATCAAACACAACGCACTTACGGTTCCACCTATAATCAGACCTGCTGAAAAATCGTGTCGAGCCCCAACTTTCTTTAGTACTTCGAAAATTTGATAAGCAAGCTCACGTGTAGGCGTAATAATAAGGGCACCTAGGCCATCCAGTCGTGTCCACATTTCTCTAAAATCAAGAGAAAACAAATCAACGAATTAAATTCGTAAATTTTAATAGACACATACTCAAACGAAAGACGTTTTAAACCATGTACCATTTTCCTGCTTAGCTTTGGGTATTACAGTCACCGACTACCCACCTGAATAATAGCTCTAGAACGGGAATAAGAAATGCGAGTGTCTTGCCTGAGCCAGTCTTGGCTGCACCCAGGACGTCTCTGCCCCTGAGGGCGAGAGCCAATGTTTCCTTCTGGATACGAGTTGGTTTTTCGTAACCACATCTTTCAAGAGCAGCTTTCGTACGTACGCATAACGGCGCATCTCTAAAAGTCTCCAAAATATCAAAATTGAACTAGGAAAGAAAAAAATTATATTAGTATTAATTGCTTAATAGATTCATAGCTAGTTCATCACATGAGCATGATTTTCCGTTTTTAATCTAACTGGTTGATTAGTCTATATATATATACATATATATATATATATATGTCTATAATTTTCACTTCGAAACAATTGAGTTAATGCAGTTTCTCAGTGTATTATTTTTACATATCTCTAGTAATCGTTAGATAAATGCTCGATTTTGCATGTGCCACAGCCGTATACACATCTATTCAGTGCAAATAGGTTGTGTGAAAAAGCAAGCTGAAGTTAGAATCGATAGTTTATGTTTACATAGTGCTACATTGTTATTTATTATTGAGTACTACGTCCTCTGGAACATCCGAAATTATTGAAGTGACGCATCAAAGCAAAAAATTGGTCAGCATAGAGGTTTTAGCGTGTCTACTACTACGTTTCTTACTTTTCCCATTGTCAATATTTGCTCAAATAAAAGTGGTATTTTTTGGTACATACAGACTCCAAACTCAAATAGCCGTTAGTCTCACGCCTATATTAAGTACTCACACTTAATAACACTAATATATTAAAAAATGTGATTACAACTGTCTCAGCGTACTTTGACAATATTAAATTGGTAGTTGTTGTCCTACCGTTCCGTAAAGTTTCTTAAGTTCGTTGATTTCATCGCGTTCAATCTTACTGGTAGCCTCCCGCTTTCTGAACGGTTTTCCACTTTTTTTTTTCTCAAACTTATTGTTACGCTTTCCGTTCGGAGGGCGGTTATCTCCACCATCTCCCTTCTCCAATTCTTCGCTGTTGGGCCATTCACTATTGGAGAATTGTTTTCGATCACTGATGACAGGTCCGCTCCTTGAAATTGATTCATTTTTTCTAGTCATGTTTTTTTTTTCCGCCATCTGTTCGTCACCAATTATACGCCAGTATAAGTTTTCCAGTTTTTCTTCAGAACCGTCACGTACGTCTCCTTTTGGCCCGTTCAGCTGTGTTATAGAAATGTTCGAATAACCCGCACGTGCGTGGATTATATTGGCGGGCCCTGGTCCGTCAAGCCGACATGATGAAAATCTGCGGAACAATCGTAACGCCGTAAAAAACGCTTCCGTGATCTCATTATCGAGTAGCTTAATGTTAAACTAAATAGACATAAGCTTAAGCTAATGCTATTTCAAAAACTATTGTTGTTGATCATACTGACAAGAAAAATTTGACTCCACTCGATCCGTTGATGTAGCGGAGTATCGACCGCTTGTTTACAGGAAATATGTAGGTCCTGGTACGCGCAACTTTAGTTTGTCTTTTGAGACGAACACGACATTGTCAAAAAATAGAGTTCCTAGAGATTCTTGTCCACCAAAGGATAGCAGTATGTTTGGTACCCAATTTTCGTGTATTTGCGTGACGGTAGTGCAATCACATAATAAGGAGTGATTGACTCTGCCGGGAATATTCAGGTCGAAGAACTGAACAATCGTGTGTTGCCTTTGGATCCACTGTAATCATTGCGACGTTCGACAGTAAGGATCATTAGCATATAGCGCGCACGTAGATGAATCTATTTCTTGATAGATTCTTGTACCTTAACGATACTAAAATTAGTTTCTCACTCCCAAAATCGTACTCTAGCAAGACATACACGATATAGTTGAATCGACTAAGCAAGATACATCTGCTACTGAGCAATTATCTTCAGCATATAAACTTATGCAACGATTTTATATAAAAAGCCGGTAGAACACATTTGTAAGGAGACGACCGTCAATCAGCGTAAGGTTATGGATTCCCTGGGGTTCCGTAGTGCTCAATGACATTATTAGACAAGTAAATTATGCCGACGGATACCTGCCTAACAATAAAAACAGTTTGCTATTTCCGAAGATCACTTCCTACAACAGTTTCAAGTTACCACAATGTATTTTCTTTGAAACGAATATAAGAATTCGGTAGTCGGGCAAAAATATGTATATATGTAGGTCAAACTTGCGGTTACTAGCTGGTAACCTCTGATGAAATGATTGCATCAGAACCTAACAGAACTGGCTAGGCAGGCGCTGTTACTTCAACGAGGCGTTAGTCACGTCGAGGCCTACGGAGATTAACTACCACATATTGAGAAACGTCGCGTCATAGGAACATGATGTTACTAACTTTAGTAGCTGGAGCAGATAAATGATGTGTTGACACGCGACAATGCATTTTTTTATACTAGATTACGCGTTCACTATTAGTGCGACGCAAATATAGCTTTTTGAGTTCTGCGTATTAAGCAAATGATATTTGGTGGTCGTCCACACGTATATATAGAGTATTATTATTTCACTCGTGGTGTCTGCTATGGTTATGTTGTACACACTTTTTCTAGAATTGTTAAAATTATCAAGTAGAAAGTTATATTTCGGCGCGGTAGAGGTACATTACACTATCAACACCCTTGAATGGAAGTAAATGATTAGACTATTATTATGAATTTAACGTTTAGTAGGCTCATAGCAAACGTGTTTTTTATTCAGTTATAGGCAATCAATAAACTCTAAATCAATAAAAACAATATAAATCGTCAAAACTTCGATTCAACGTGTTAAGTAAATAAATAACGCATGCGGTTCACAGAATTCAATGGTTGCTTTTTAATCTAAAATAACTTGATGGCTCCTGCTTCAATTGATACAAGGTTGAATCATAAGTGGAACTTTGGTCTAGTTTGGACTTTGCCAACCTATGACATTGATAAGGTCTATCGGTCAGTCTGACTCAGGTTGTGCTACATTAACTGCTGCAATCGAAAGCCTCTCTCGCAATGGCTGCCCACTCCTGTGCAGTAGGAGAACGTCATTCTTGCGGTGACTCAGTGGGCTTAGTTAGCCAGAAAGACTCGTTGCCGTTCTTCGTTTTAATAGTTTATATTTTCCTCGAGCTCGTTATCGATTATATATATCATCCTTTTCGAAACTCACCATGTAAAGACACTCGATCTATCAATTTATATTATACCTTTGGGCTTCGCCCGAGTGAGCTCATACGTAGTTTCAGTAAATGCAATAGGAAATATTATTTGCGGTTTCTCTTTGAAACTTCACGTCCGTGTCTAATTTGAAAGAGTTAAATTCTTACCATCTCTTTCTGCTCTGACTATGTTCAAACAAGCCTATTTGCTTTTCTCAAGTCTCAATTTGTAATTTTAAACTCTTCCTTTTACCACGCATTATTAAATATAGCGCATGTGTCTATATCTTTAGATGAAACTTAAACAGTTAAAGTAACACCTAAAGAAGTTTCCGAGGTATTCGTCATACACCGTGGGACACCAAAATACATACTTTTGTAACCTAACAACACACCAAAAACGAAGTTGTTCGCAACCGCTCTTTCTCTTTTTTAGGCGTTGCGCAAAAACGCAATCGGCTTAGCTGATACGATGGACGATTTATATTAACGTCGATAAAGTAGTGATGTTTCTTGTCCCCCCGTGATGATCCTGTCTGTTTTGGGGCCATTAGCTCGAAGTTATCGCTCGACTCTTGAAGTGAAAACAGGTTGTTTGAAGAAGACCTTTCTGGCTACAATATTTGCCATGACGCGACCGATCGCTGTTGGCCATGTTACGCGTGGTAAGAATCACAGCTATGCTTCCAGCATTCCAGCCCTTAGTTTAATTATGATCTTAAATTATAAGTAGTAGGTACCACTTCCGTTCCATGTTTACATGCGATAAACGTGTATTAGAATCTATGACTTTAATACTTAGTTCCTTATAGGGTGGTTCATTAATACATGTACCTTCTATTTATATCATATAGTAAATGTATGGTACTATTCATTGATAAAGAGATATTACTTAACGTTTCAGAAGAGAAATTACAGCATTAGCCAGGGCCAGTTTACACATTGTTTGTTCTATGTAAGAAAGGATCTGAGCGACACTTTCATGTGCTCTGTTAAATATGACAATAAAACAAATGTTCTACATTTGAGATGATTATCCGTTTTGGAGCCCCGAAGATTGACTCACGAAAATTAAGTTGTATATTTTGTTCCCTGTGGAACGTTATGTGGACTACTTTGCAGATGCACAAAGTATCGACCTGGCGCGAACAGTTTTGAGATCTGAAGGGGTGTTGGCCGTTCCCACAGACACGGTCTACGGGATCGCCGCACTTGCTCAAAGCAGCACAGCTATCCGAAAGTTGTATGCGATTAAGCAGCGAGATATCCATAAGCCTGTAGCTATCTGCGTGGCAAATGTCGACGAGGTCTACAAATGGGCACAGGTGAGCAAAAATTAAGGCGCCCTTGTGGCGAAATTTGCAAGATACATTTTAACGAGATTTAAGGTATTCGAGTAATCGGATATTTACCTACTAGAAGAAACTCTTGTAATAACAATGATAATAATGTTAGATGGCTGTTGTTGCTGATATCAGTTGTGCAGTGTTGTTGTGCGTGATTAGTCTTAATCGGTGGAATTTCTGTGGTTTGTTTCCACAAACGGACTAAAAACAGAATGACTGAGCCTTTTTTTCATGGGATAAATAACATGTAATATCAAAAAAAAAACTGTTGTTCCCACATTTTGAATACAGAGTCATGGAAACTCCTTGTGTCCGGTGCTGTTGACAAGGAAGGGTGTAATGATTACTCGAATTATAATATCGTTTTGATTTTAATGCGATATGACGTCACTGCGATATGATAGTTACTTACGGTGTGATTATAAAATAATTGCACACGAGTTGCTTGATGTATGAATGTTATTGTTTAATGTCCTTTTTTTCGATAGCGTATTATTAATCAAACGAAAGAATATCCAATGTCAGATGTCTTTGCTATATTTAAAGGATTAGGGGCCACTTGAACAAAAGTCCATGTCTATTATATGGCTAGTCTAAGAGTTATTATAACAGCAGCCTTTGCTAAACAATTACGAACATACTGCCTAACATAAGCAAAAGTAACAAGGACTCATTGACTAATACACATTTCCAAGTGAATCGAATGGCAAAATATTTGTTGTTTCGATAAATATAGCCCACTATGCGCATATTGTAATTCATAGAATTTAACAATGTTATTAATCAAATAAAAAAAATCAGGAATAACAGGTTAGTCAATATAACAACAACCAAATCAATACAAAATACAATGATATAGTCAACAATATTAAGTCAGCAATCGATAACTGATTATATTACTAGACTACTTTGGGGTGAACCTTGACACTGCCCGAGCCAATTGAATGATTGAGCAAGGCTGAGTGAATGCTACAAATACACGCCGTCGAAGTTTAAACACATTAATCTTCAACGACATAGCCCATTATATCTGATGGAATCGCAAAATAAGACGGTGAGATTCTATATTCAATAAGCCTTTAGAAGCCCAGCTCTAAATACCAAAATGACGCCTACTTCAGAGGTTGTTACTATAAAAGAGCATGGAAGTCGGCCATCATAGTTAAGTCATTTGGCGCTTATTGTGGTTGTATTAAGTGCAGGTAATAAACTAGGATAATTGGTATTTGATTGAGAGACTACTGCCTTATCAAATTTAGTTTTTAAATCGAAGACCTACTTATCCACCAGTATATGGAACGGATGCCAAAGGAAGTTCATTGTAGCCATTACAAAAATGTGTTAACGAAAAGCGGATTATTATGTCGCCTGTTTTATGCCAAATTTTTACTACACTCTTAGTCAATAAATGAAATTTCAGAAAAAGCAGAAATTTAGTAGCGAGTAGATATTTTTCATGTTAAGCGTTCGATTGTGGATCGAACGTATACAGAAAGAGAATGCTCCGACTTACACCTCTTATGTCTCCTGACAAAGTCAGACTAGAGTCAAGCCCAACAGTGTCTTCTTTCCCCGCCGTTCAGTCCAAGCCCGTTCGTGTGGTTTCGCTATACAGTAGATCTCATTAATCCATTATGCGCATCACTAATTAGATGACCAGGCATTTGGCTACCATAAGAAAGCCATAGTCAGCCCCGCCGTTTACCCGCGCTTTAAAGAATGTCTTGAGATTCAGAGCACCAGCAGGCAGGAAACATATTATGTCATAACCAATTACTGGATTTCACCATGCATTTTTCTCAATTAAGCGATCGGAGTATTTCAGTTGTACTAGTTCTAAAGTAGTTGATCATTTCGACTCACACCAACATAAACTGAAACAGCTAACAATGTTCATGAACACAGCTTCGGTCATCATCTAATCGATATGATGTCCGAAGTCATAGATATGAAGTCTATATAATAAGTCTGTAGATAAATACTTCTACTATCAAACTTCAGAGCCATCCTGATTTTCAAGTTTCTGGAATCATCCGTATAGTTAAACTCACAAACTTTATGGCAATCGTACATCGTTAATTTACTTCGATGCAGCTTAGTTTTCTGAAAGAATAAGAGAAAATAAGGATTTTATTTTAAGTAAATTGCGAATATATTAATTAGTAAGGGTTCTACAGTTTTTGTTTGACGGCCTTTCTGTTCGAAGCAAGAGGTGATCTTCTAAAACTCGCGAAGTATAATTTCTGTAGCGTGTTTCTATTGCAGTGGGTGCTACCGATTATGGTGACTCATTTGGGGCGATGTTGCAGCAGTCTTGTATCCAGCGCCATTGATCTTAACTACTTATTAACCTTCCTGTGTTTCGTCTATGGGTCGAATCGAAATCACATTGTGTCTCCATGATTAGCAGACAAGTACGTTACCAACTAAGATTCTAAAGCAAATGGGTATCTGCGATATTGCCGTACTCAACGCAGTTTCCAGAGAGTAAACAAAACGAAAGGCAGCAACCGCCCAGGCTCCTAGCTGGAATCTAGTGACTCGAACCCCCGCGAATATAAACATGTCCTCCTCCTGAGCTTTTTCGTCTATAAAATTAAAATAGAAATATTTATATGATCTGTTTATGTAACATTTAATTGTTATATTTCATAAAATTAATCAACGCTGATAATTAATGAATATGGTAATGAAAATACGGCCACGACAGAAGGATATGTTTATACACGTATTAATAATAATAATTGTGTTAACAATCATTCCAACAATGGGTCAATTACCACTTGCTCTGCATCTTTGCGCGAAAATTAGATAAGTAAACATCTTATAGGCAATTGTCTTTATTACACATCCTTGTTATCTCAATAAAGCCGAAGACATTTATTTCCACACATACATTATTTTGCTGCGTGTTGGTTTCGTTACTATCCAAACCATATTCGCCTCACACTGACGTACTCGATAGGTCTCTCGTGAGTAATCGCCGTTCTTATAGCGCCCTGCGTTGTCCTATTACCGCGTAGCATAGGCACCCTAGGAGTGTTGCACCGCTGACAAGCGTAAGGCTTAAGTGGCCCTATACTGCTCGATCTTCTAATGGGCATGCCATCTATTTTATTGCCGGCCTGCTTCCTTATATGTTCCCTCTACTGACTCTAAAGACACTCTAGTTTTCGGGAAGCTACAAAGGTCAAAAGACTATACGCTACTTCTCGTTAGCGTTGTTTTCGTATCGGGCGACGGCGGCGACAGCAACAACAGCAGTCAGAATACACCACATATCGTCGCATATATGCGTGTGACTGCTCAAAGCCACAAACAGTACTTTTCTCCAGGAAACGCCACGAGGCTTCCCAAGTTAGACGCTGTTATGCCTGTGTTTCTAATGAACCAAACAAATAAACTCGTCTTGAATACCAAGTTTGCTAATTTTGGAGTGTAAATATATGAATTAAGAAACTGAAGATGCTTTAATCGGAGAACTCTTTAAAATACTTTAGGCGTCTTGTTACTTTGGTGTATGGTTTTTTTATTATTTCCGGTTTTAGTTGCTGGGCAACCGTATGCTGCTTTGGTTGAAAATTTAATAATAACTTTATAAAAAGGAAAATACAACTTCATCGTTTTTAAAATGTTGATAATGCTGACAGTGCTCTAATCGATAATTTTTGTTGTTTTTTTTTTCAACTAATAATAATCTTGGCAAAAATTATAGGTAACAATCTCGCGACAACTGCTGGAAGCTCTTCTCCCAGGACCTGTCACCCTGATATTCACCCGCACGCATCTTCTTAATCCGGAACTGAATCCGGACACTACATCGGTCGGCGTTCGAATCCCTGATTCACCGTATATTAAGTAGGTTGGCATGAAATCCCATTGTTTGTTAGTATATAGTCCAGTGTTTCTTATGTATGTAATTATGTATATATATATATATATATATATATATATATATATATATATATACATATATTTGTTCTCGTTCGATATACAGTTGACAGGAATCGTCTCAACAGCCTCAATTTATTTTTTGCTTGCTGTTTTGACTATCGCTTATACACTTCTGTGTTTATTGTAACGTATTGTTCATCCAGTCCACGCCGCGTCGACCTATTTAAAAGCTAGTCATCGAAAAGGTTTTATTTACTCTATGATGACTTGAGCATTTTAGGATAAGGGTGCAACCGCTGCCAAAGGTTGCGAAAACGGACTGTATAAGTACATCCGTATTGATCGCACGTGCCCTAGTCCCGAGAGGGCGGGATATCCTCCGGGGCGGCAAAGTAGCGCTTTTTAACTTTCCCACCTGCTACCGCTCCTTGTGTTGCTCATTGCTCACATAATACCCAGAAAACTGCAATTATATGTACAATTACGTAATCAGGAAAGGTGGGTTAATCGGGGCGCGGTTTCAAGTAGGAAGCGATCCCAGTTTTGTTGTTACAGCAGCAGCTATTGCAGTCTGTTCGCTCGAGATACTATGCTCTAGCATCCTATTTTGTTTTCTTAGCTTGTTTCACCTCTGTCTTCATTCATCGAAATTGCTATTTCAACAAAACTGGACCCGGGGCAGGGCTTTCCATATTCGAAAGCCATGCATGTAACCATAAGACAGTCATACCAGGAATGCGTTTCTATGATGAACGCTTAGGTCTATTAGGTCTTGTCAAGTATGTACCAATGCATCGTGTCGGCAGGAATGGGGCAACGTAGTTAATGATAATGCGTTTGTCGTCTGGAGACAGTATTAGCGACGATGGAAAAATTGCCGCCGCCTTGGGAGCAAGCTCCAATATATCAGGGTCCAGTTCTCCTCAAAAAAAAAGAAGAAAATGAAGAACTCGTGAGAATTTGTCTTGCCCTCAGTTCTTCATCAGCTTGGGAACGCTACTTTCCTGTTTGCCCCCTTTCATTAATCAGGCTTTTCTTTATTAAGTGCTGCTCGATAACTCTACCTGAGCAGAAGTTAAATGGGCAATTCGCTTCGTTCTGTAACGCTTCTGTGTGAGGAGACGGATAGGCCGACTGAGGTCTGAAACATGTAACAAATGGAGTGAAAAAAAGTTTTTGGAAACAACTCTTTCCTTCATTATGATTATCATCGTCATAATCATCATGTTCAAGGTCAGTTCTTCAAAATTCATATTCTGTCCATAAACAAAAACTGTCTTAAGCAAGTTGTCAGTCCAAACGAAGGGCACTGTGGAAGAAGGCGTGAGAAACATGGCATTGCTCTGAGATAAGCAGAGCGCGTTGTGCAGCTACTTATATAGACCAATTTCTATCCAATGCTTTCCTTTCATACACTCCCTGTACTGGCTTCACGTAGGAAGACCGACAGAAAAATGATAGTGTACAATCAAGGGTTTATGATATACACATGTACGAGAGGAAGCTCGAGAATCTGCAGCAGAAATGGTCGGTCATGGCGAAGACTTTTCTGGTCTACGTTTGACTACAAGTGCTAGACGCCGTCCACCACTATCTATTTAGTGATCGCTCATTTTAATATGGAATGATTTTTCGTTGTCTGAGTAAGTTCTCTGTGAGTTTGCTGTCAGAGGAGTTTCGTTTGTGTGCGCTAAAAGATGGACTAAACTGAATTCAGGACGTGGGTAAAAGGAAATCGCTTTAAAGAAACAGAATTGTTTTTTTAAGTGAGGTTTTGCCAATCTTAGCAGCAATGCGTTGAGGTAAACGACGTTCGCATGATATTGGAATGAGGAAGGCATTCGATATCGGGGTAAGGAATTCATTCTCTGATCCTTCTCCTTATCTTTCTCCACAATAGTGTGCAGATAAGTATGCCGACAACGTACGGCAGCCGTCGAATGCATTACTACTACGGCAGACGCGTAAACGTATCAATGAATGGGCAAGTTAGTTCTGTAAAAAACACCGTTCTATTAGCCCTGTCTGTATCAAACTGATGACATTCGCCGTTTACAACGTTAAAACAAAGATTCATGCGTATGAACAATATCTAAGTGATTGAGTGAAATATTTTTGTATGACGTATTTGGTCAAAAACAACCGCCTAATGTATTCCTACATTTTACTTTGCGACCGAAAAATACGAGTCTATTCATTATTTTCATCAATCTAGTATATCATATGCAAGTATATATACGAAAAGTTCAGACAATCACTCCGCCCATCCGACAAAAGACAATCCATAAAATCGACAAGGTAGCTTGCCCCTCCCAGTCGGTTCGCTACAATCGAATAGCCTTCTCACATCTTCGAAAGCATGTGTGAGACGACAAAATCTCATTAGGACTCAAATCTTCGGTAATAATTATAATTATGACGACGAGCATACATAATTTATAATCGTTATGTTAGAATAAGATAACCAAAAAAGTCTAATGATTTCAACAATCTGCATCGGATCATTCTATGAAACGCGTAGAACAGGATGCAAGGTCTTACACAAGAATTTTATATTTTGTACGAATCAGTGTGGTATCTTTTTGACAGTTAGCCTCGTTAATAGTACCACACCAATTGGATACAGATGTGATGCGCATAACGTAAAATATTTCGCCGATTTAGATTTACGATACGTGGTTTTGTGTTGCTCAGTATTATGCAGGTGTTGTGATCACAGTTCCCACACGCCTAATCCGTAGATCGGCATTGGCTCAATCACTGAATGTTGTTAAGTTGATCTATAGATTGATCTTTTTGTCAAGGAATCAAAATTTCCACATAAATGCGCCAGCGAAGCGACAATAAGTCGGAAAACAAGACACGCCTGTGCTGCCTCGTCTTCTGCTATGTGCATAACAAGTTAAACTAGTGCATATAGATGATGGACTTGCCGTTCATAGAAATTCCACGTTCTGAGAATTTGTTCCGGCGCGTATTTTCGTGCAGAACTGTAAATCAACCCGAACTAACTGTTGCTAGGTGTGTCGTAATGGTATTTAAAACCTATATGATGAGTCGGTAAAATGACTACCGCATAGACAGTTAACCTAAGATGATCAAGCGACAGAGGTAGGTTTCCTTTGATATTGTTTGAATGCAGTTATTTCTTGTTATACATGACATATATAACATGGTGTCGAAATTGTATTCTGAAACTGTAGTATAGGATACTTCATATTAGCGATACTACGATAGTGCTTTTAATTCAAATTCGAAATTATACTAAAGAGATTTATTTGTTCTAGAACGCTCTGTGAAGTTGTGGGATGTCCGCTGGCACTGACATCGGCGAATATGTCGTCGGCCGAATCAACTCTAAGCGTTGAAGAGTTTTCTGACCTTTGGCCTCAGCTTGACCTCGTCGTTGATGCAGGCCCCCTTTGTCAATTAGGCAGCCCCCAGGCGAAACAACGTAAAGGCTCTACCGTTGTGGATCTTACCGCTGAAGGGTTCTTCAGGGTGGTAAGACCCGGTTGGTATGTATTTATAATCTCATTCAATATAGTAGGTGTGTTGATTGAGTCTACACTACGGTGACTCTAACGAGTCACGATATCGATCTCGGTAAGGTTCAAGATAGCATTGAAAGATTATTATTACAGGTCCGTCAAAAACAACGCAGACAAATAAATCTTATATCTTGCAATATAGTCGTATTTCGACTATTAAAATCAACATTAAAAAACGTAAGCAACAAGTTTACATGAATAGACAACCAAGCTGTTTATTTAGCTGTGGCATTAATTCTTGAACTCTGAGATTCGCAGATTGGAAAATAGCACGGATTCCACAACAACTGACCCGTTTAAATAATACATGCACATCATTTTTGTGAAGCTTACCTATTTTCTGCACCCCTTCTCGTGTTCAGATGTACTGATTTGTCTTTGAGTTTTCAACAGCAGCGGCCTCATCAGCTTAAGGTCAATATGTTTCGAAGCAGCTGCAAGTTCGCACATTCGAGGCCGAAAATGGTTCTTCTCCACGAGAAACAACGGATCGGCCCAGCAGTCTCAATACATATACATATGTATATACATATAGCTGTGCGAGGTTACTCAGTGTGTATGTCTGTCCTCCACTTGATAGATTAACGCTAAGAGCGGTTTCTTTTACTAGTTTTCTTATGGGTAATATTAACGCGTATGACCCTTATGTTAATGCTTTCCAGCTGTCTGAAGGTCACGAAGGACGTTTTGTTGAGAAATGGCCTCAAAGAATGGCGCGACCTCTCGAGTGATATTAAAAAACGTAGCAGAAGCCATACAGTGGCTCATAATGGTGAAATTAAGTAGAAATATGGAACATAGAGGAATAAGATAGTCATATTACTTCGATCCAGGTGATGTATAATCGCTATGGGTATTCGTTTCGAGCAGTGAAGACTTAAGGAATAACATTGATTCCGCTGCTACACACTTTCGCTCATTTTGTTTTGAATACAAAACATTAGTTAGTTTCATCTTATTATTGCACAGGTTGCTGCGACTAATATGTTTGTTCAGGCCAGTTCTGCATTGGCAGTATTGAAGAGTTTTGTGAGCTAAATTTTATGAGAGAAATGAAGTGTGTACTGTGTAATTTGTGAAATAGTAGAGCTAAATCGTCCTTGGGATCTTGGGCAGAGTAAAAAGCTTTACATAAAAATAAATGAAAACACAAATGCCGCATTACTCACTTCACCAGGAAACACAGTATGTAGAGTAAGTTGTTTTCACAAAAAACGCTGCTATATATATATATATATATATATATATATATATATATATATATATGCTTGCACATGGTTAAAGACTAAGTAACGCTGAAATTTACCAGCTACGCGGTATTATTATTACGAAGACAAACAAATCAAGCAAACAACTGAAACAATGTTTAAACGTTTTCGCATTGTAAATATTTCTTACAGAAGCAAGTCACTCGGAAAATCGATTAGTGCACCCTATTAGAATATCTGTACAAAGGCACAGTTTAGCTAGCTGTTTATTGGACGTACACTATATAACAATTTCGTGTGTGCGGGCAAAAATAACCAACGAGGCGGCAGACTATGAATCAAGAACTATGAAACGCGATTAATAGGTCATCAATGAAATTGTTTACTATTGTTTTTAATTTACTTTTTAGTTAAAAATTTATTTTTTATTTTTGTTGCGCCAGGTGTGCGTGTGTGTGGCTATGTGTTTGTACGCAACCTTGGATAGGAAATCAATACATTCGTTCTGGTTTAATGTTCAATTGATGATTTGGTATTACTTAGTTCCATAGAATTTAATTTTTTATAATAAAGATACGTTTTCTATTATTTTTATTTCATTTATATTTACGTTCATTATCAGTGATGTTCTGTACTTTGCAACCATCAACAAGTTTTATGTGCATGTTAAGTCTTGCAAGCTAATTACCTGTACACTAGACAAATAGTCAGAGAATGTAAATTCCACGAGAAAACAGCATACATTAATTGAGCAGTAGAACATTAAATATTTTTCAAGATCCCGGAAACTAAAATCCCGGTGTCTTTTTGATTAACACCGGAGCGTCACTCGTTACGCAGTTGAATATCAAGTAGAAGAACCTTTTTCCAATGTTTACTAGTAAAAAAATAGATGAATGTTCAGCGTCGTATAATAAAGAACTCGATGGGGTAATGACAGATAAGTTATTTTATGTTTGAAGGAAAACAAAAGCGAAGCAATCGAATAATTGTGAACATTACGGTCTGGGAACGTGCAAGAGAGTCCGAAGCCGAATCATACTAAAAAGAAAATCATGGCAAAGAACATAATGTCTAATAGCCCATCCTACAGTTGGAACACAATATGTAGAAAAAACGATTAGGTCGAAAACACAGAAAGAACCCGTGTATGTCGATAATAGGCTACCAGTTTTTTAATAAATGTTGTGGTTGGCCACAGATGAACCATCGTATGTGTCTTCACTGCATGCGTTTGTGTCGTGTTCTCTGATAACTGGTTAGTAATGTTCAGCTATTCTCTAGTTTTTTGAAGAGTACCATGCCACTGGAGCGAGAAAGATACACTAATAATACTTTATTTTTTCATGAGATAGTTATGCAGTATGGCAATATGAAATGATAAAACTTCAGAATACCTGCTGATGTGTGCAGAGTTTACGTGAATCTCTAAAGCATCCCTGAAACACAGTTATGCCGCCCGGTCTGTTGGTCATGGATATTCATCTATGAAAGTCTCTAATTGCAAGCGACAAAAGTCTGCTTTCAGGGTTCTCTAAAGAACACTGTTATCAATGTTGGTAGATATTATTCACCTTGTGTTAGTGTCCTTCCGTAGAGATTCTTATAGTTCAGTATGCTCCCATCTTAACAAGACATACTTTGATTTAAAACGCTTGAATACGACCGGCGAGCACACAAAAAGCGATAAAGAAACAACTATAAATTCAGACGCACGAGACGAAAATATTCAAAGTAGTTTAATCACCGGGTCATCTTTGTTTGTCTGATTAGATTGAAACGATTGGTTAAAGAACAGAAATATTCGAGTTGAAGTTTCGAGAAAATATTGAGCTTTGGATGAATCTCTTTGGATGGTAATATAAAAGGTGTCTGTACTTTCCGATAGAATACAAACCATATTCACAGCAATGGCTCTAAGTCTATATGTTAGGCAATTAGAAACCTAAATAGCTATTGTTTGAAGCTCAATAATATAGTTATGAATTCGGTGTGTATGGCAGGTACCGGCTGCACGCTGGAAAATGTATGCTACTTTTTTATAGAAAGCACTCTGATAGTCAAATATTTACTAGCCACAAGATATAAAACAAACCTCAAGCTGCTACAAGTGAAATGTCTTAGTGTATTTTACTGAAATACACAAAAATCAAGACGATCATTAAGGAACCACAAGACATGGCATCCGCAAAATGAGAAGCTCTGAAATACGTTTTGCTACGTTTGCTCTTCACAGTCGTATAGCTCACTACCTCTTTGCTGATAGGTATGCTACAGAGACTATGTACGAGTAATCGATCTGTCATGCAAGTTCCAGTTTAGCTAAAAACTCCTTGTTCACCCGGTTATCTACTATTTCCAGTAAGTCTACTCCGTGGTCACTACGCGAATTAGTAAACGAATGACACAATGTACGAAGTACTAATTAAAAGAAAATAAAATCCTAACTGATAAAATAAATATATTAAGATGTATGTAAAAAGCTAAGCTATTGTGCATCACGACTCCCCGCATACAGACTTTGCAACACGCCGTTATCAGTGTAATCGATGCAGGGCTCTAGGCAAAGGAGGAGAACAATCATGTGAAAACCAAATGTATTTCTGTCTTATTTTTTATATGAAACGACAACATTCATAACCTGTACCCTCCATACGAGATCGCTCGTAGGTTCACGGACCTTACTTTATGCCGCCTCACGTCTTTTGCTTATAGCAAAATAACGGCTTCTTTTTATTCTTTCCTATCCGAATCATCCATTTAGAAATCACTAACTGCGTTTCACAGGCTGTGTATAAACGACATTGGCGGTGACGTTGTTTTACTTCGATGCCGAACTGTTTACTGGAATCAGTCATCGTTCGAACGCTTCGTATAAGAATTGTATGTGCTCCGGGTGATATTCTAAACTAGGCTGACAAGTGCAATATTTTTTTACATATCCAGCTTCGCCAGTAGTGTTAGGTATGCTCAGCTCCCGACAGATTGCTTTTGCTTAGCTTTTCGACTTGCCGACTTTCTGAACTCGTTCACACATCGTTCCAACTCTCCATAGGCTATGGAGGAGACATAACGCTGGCTTGTAGGCGTAATTTCTAGCATGCCGTATTTGGCCGCTGCCGACGCTCTTTTGTACAATAATGCTTAATGTTCTCGCCAGCCCCTTACCTGGCTCCTTTCGCTCTCACACCTTCCGTTATTCTCTCTTAGCCGATCGCAACTTCTCGCGTCCTCTTACTGCGCCAGCGTCACTCACGGCGCTCCTCGGAGCTCGATCTATGTAACAACTCACTGTGTAATATTCTTTAAAAGGGAACAGCCACGACTGGAAACGAAGCACAGAACATCAGTTGAAGATTCGTTTAACGATGAGATTAAAAACCAGGATAGTTTGGGGTAGCGAGGCTATGGTGGGTGCCATCGACATCGAGCCCGCTTCTCTAAGATACTAACGTTAGCGTAAGAGTACAACATTGTGACAATGCATAGCGCCATCTTTTAAGTAACTGGTTGAGTCAGAACCATTAGGTAGACCTCTGATAGACTTGTGGTATCATTTGTGTATCACTTGTAGTTCTGCGATTGTAGAGTCGTTTACAGTAATCGTCGCTCGTTGCTACTCATTCGTTTGGTATCATTATCTTAGCTCCAATAGAGAGTGGCCCCCCTCGCCAAGAGGAAACCAGTTAACGACGAGAGACAATTCCAGAGCGGTCTTTTAGTACTTACGGTGTAGCAAAGGTGACTGGCACTTCGCATCAGTACATCAATGGCTTGATCGTCGTTCATTAGTCGACTGTCACTGAGATATCGCCGGAGACCACAAGCTTCACAAATATTACACGAAATGCGAGAAAACTGAAATGTATGGTTACCGAACCAAAAAGGGTGCCGAAATTAACTCAGAAATTTCAAACAAGCATCTTACCACTATTATCTATTTTGGGGTACATATACTCATGATAATATCGTTTAATCATAAAGCTTGCAGTCACCTGTCTTTTCCAAAACGTGTTTCCTACATTAGAGTAATCCGTCTTAACTGATTAAATGGTTGATCTAATAGATTTTGCACACCACAGGCTCTTTATAGTTTTTGTACGTTTTTTTCTTTCCACAAATGCCATTTATCAGACGTTTAATCTTGATCAGATTTTGACGTTATGCTGGTCATGGTTGTCGTCGTCCAGACCTCGTGACTAGTCGCCACGTGACCATCTGGCAGGCAACTCGTTGGAAAATAACGGGTACAAAACGACCTTGAAAGAAGATGGGCAGGCAATCCTAGCTGTAGTGGCAGTTATTAGTGATACCTGCAGACGATGGATGAGAAAGACACCCTTCTCTGATACGCAGTATTGATTGATGTTACTAACGACGGAGTGCTAACCCTCGCACTGGATGGCAGACGCTTCAGAGTTTGACAAGGCGCCTGAAAAACATCTGAGTCTCTTCGAGACGCTGATGAGAAGGCGCTCGGTCTTGGGCGGCCGTTCAATGATGTTAAATTATGTCAACATATATCCGGCGGTGTGGAGTGGAACGCGCTGCTTGGGCAAACCCGTTAACTTGACTGATATCACACTGCACTAAGACCGACGTCTAGTTCGCATTGCATCCGGGCGAGCGTACAGAAATGACGCGCGGTAATTAAATTTCGGCGGGTCGGTATTGCCATTTATGCAGAAAAAAAGCCAGATAGACGACATCAGAAGGGCCCAGTCGAAGAACGAGAGAGCAGAGCTTAGCGTTGAAAGAGGAAATCGCTAAACGTGAGAAGAGCTATCCTGACATGCAATACTGTTTGCAGTTGCAGGCCCACGCAGGCACCTACAATTCAAGAGCGTGGAAAAATTAGTGAGCCAGATAAATGAGGCAAAGAAATAGAACCATTCATAGGAATAACTTTGCATATATTTTTATATCAATATAATAAATATGAAATAATTCGTACCAATTTGTTCAAAAAACCTTCTACGTTTACGAAACGCCCAAATTTGCATTATATACTCACCTTTGATACACATAAAGCGGTGTACGATAGCTAGCATAACATGGGCCTGTCAACTTTCCTCATTGACACAGTACATTAAATACGAAAATTCTTTCGATCGATCAGCTCGAAATAAAATATCTTACAAACTAATTATACAAGCTAATTGCAATTAAATATGATTGGGACGCGTAACAGTGTGCCGCTCGTGCCGTTTACTACGTAATGACGAAGTAAAAATGGCCGTTGTGATTGTGACATCTAATAAAAATCTAAATTTTGCTGCTTACCGTAAATATCAGAATCCCCTTATTATATTGAGAACCTAAAAACAAATATTAACTATGTCATGCATTTTTTTAATCTTATATATATATATACATATCCAATAAAAATATGTCTGTCGGGCACTAGTCGCATAAAACGTAAAAGCGAAACGATTTTGTCATCAAATGAAACAGTTCCTGCTATTATAATCTACCTCTAAAGACATAATATACGCTTGCTGTAAATAAATTATAGTTAGCTCCGTACAAATACTTATAATATAACATTCACCATTAATAGATCCTGTCGCTTACCCAAATTATTTTCTGCTATCATCATCTCATAGTTGCGCAAACGCTAGCGAATAATATGTGACAAGTGTCCAGCCCTAAATGATAATCTCATTTTGATACCACATACGAATTGACTAGGGTAGAGTGTATATATCCAGGGCTATCTAACGTTGGCTGCCTTAGATTCCAACGTATTTAAACAAAGTCGGTGTGTGGCGTCTAGTGCGTGGGCATTTACAGCAAAGGTTATGCGTCGGGAAAGCGGCGCACGTCATCGAGATGTGTTGTGGTAACAGCTTGTTACTTGTACTTGTTAACATATTTTCTGTTATAGTCATCTCCGATACCGCGTGTTAATCGATCAACACCGAAGCGGCGTCGGATTAGTCGAAGAACTCTTTGAACGATCAGGCACCAGCACTATTGTCACCGTGATAATTTAGTAGGTAACATATTGGACGTATATGGGTATCGTATGGGCTACATAACGGGTAACGCCTAACAGCGATGCCGGACATAGAACTCGGAAACAAAGGCACCACCACTATGAGAGACTAAATATATAAAGCAAATATAATTCGCTCTCCTCGCTTTTTAGCACTAGCAAAAGCAGTAGAAGTACAAACAGCCTTGGTGCGATGTAAATATGTAGATCCACTCGTGTTTCTCTTTCCCGTTTAAAAACAAACTTGCACAATGGACTTGAATGTTCTAATGTCACCGCAGCAGCAGCAGCACATGATAATTCGCTTTCATATTGTGCTGTGTCTGCCTATATAGCTTTTTGTTCTGTTTTGTTATGGAGCTATTTGGTGCTGAATATTGCTGCCGGCATTTCTTCACTAGGTAGCAATAATAATGCTACTGATGATAACAATGATCGTGGAGGTAAATTGTTACGTTAAGAAAATTGCTATTTTCCTGTAAAAAGGAGATTAAACTATATAAATGGTGTGCCGCTGGTTACCAGTGTCATACACGTTTGTCAAAACTATAATACATATAGGGTTCATAAGGCTGTCGTTATGAAAGCCATAGACTGCGACAAACTTCCCCACGTGAGCAGGACGTGCTAAACGTTCCCGTAATGTTAACGTAGATCACTCAAATGATAAACAAGAACTCTGATTGGCACATTGAACTTCGTGGATTTCCAGTTAATCGTCTGCTCCCTTCCGTGTTCCTCTATCTGTTTGTATGATTTTCTACGTACTCAATCGCTCATCCCTTCCTGTTCTCTTATTTCCTAATCCGGCACCCCCTCGCCGCCTGACCTGCCAGCCTCTAGTGACGGCGCGGTTCATCCGCTGCGTCCTTTTCCGAGCGATGTTAATCCACGTCTAAATATATACACATCAAGTTTATTCGCCTGCACCGGCGCCTCTGCCCCTCACTTCTCCAATCTTCTCAGCGACGCGTTGCGTCTTATTGAGCTTGTCTTGACTTACAGAGAGAGGCGTGTTTTTTTTTTAATAGCGACATCTAAGGCTAGCAACGACACAGCAGAACCCGTAGGCACTCCGTGATCGTTTCTCGTTTTTTTCTTTTAGCGACGGCGGTGATTGCCGCTTTCGTCCCTGTTAAAGCTGCATTCTGGCTGTGCCTGTCCCGTGTTTTTAACGTATCAGAAGAGGTCCAGTGAAGGGGTGTGTCTTAGTCAAGCTAACTATAGGCTAAATAAGCCAAGCGAAAAAAAAAACACTGCCGAAGGCACTTTCGGCATCGCCCGGTTCTAGCAGGAGCAACAGGCCGACACAAAAGACTGGAAGAACCAAATCTTTAGTTAGTTAACCTGATCAGCTATTCCACGCCATATCTCACTCTTTTCCACTTGCTCCATCCATCCCAAGTATTTTTTTTAGAAAAAAAAAGTACAAGAAACAGTGAATAAGCACTCCATTCATAGTAGCTAACGTCACATTAATACAAGTTAGTCGATATATACAAAAAAAGTCAACAAATACTCAGAAATTTCACTTTTAGGCACTTATCATGTGTTTTACTTTTCTTCTAAACTAAACGCCAACGCGATCACTGCTATCTACCGTGTAGCATGAATCTGATCGCATAACCTCATTTACGATGGAGCTAAATTAGTGAATCGAGTAAATGTGCGGTACGTCTAGGGACAAGGCGAGGTTGCCGTGCCTCTTGGGTCTCCTAGTGCTTTCCTCCGAAACTTCATTAGCATGGGTGTTCGCATTTCGGAAAAGGCCCAAGGGAGTTAATTTAAGAAAAGAGAAACACAGAAAAGACTTATAGAGTTTATATAATCGCCATATACGAAACTGCGCGGTATTAACCCGTATATATGTATATCTGGGGAAATATTTACAGTCGTAGATAGCAACAGCGCAGTCAATGGGTTTCGAGTTTATGAAACGATACCACAATGGGCTCCCTTAGTCATTCAGAAGCTGAATGTCAAAGAAAAGTCAATGAACCACTAGAAGGTTTATGAGAAATCGTTGACTGTCTTGAGTGGATTCATTTCCAAGTTTGATCCGCAGTTTATGCAAATAAACTTGCTTATCGTCCTAATTGTTCTATATTTTTCCAAATTTATTTGGAGATCATAAAGAGACTGCTTTTTCCTGTAGGGCCCTTATTTGGCGTCAGTTTATTTTTCCATTCCTACTTATGTATTTCGGGACTTATGTTCTTCTTGTAAAAATTGACATTATATCTGTCACAATTCAGAATTCCTTATATATTCGTTCCCTATTATTTCACAATTCGTGCTACTATTCAACTTGGCTCTTTTGTATATTCTAAGATGAGATTTCTGTTCAATTCACTCCCCTGGTTCGCGGTATCCATGATTCACAACACGACGTGAAGGTTGACCATAAACCCCAGGCTGTCTTTAGATCCTATGTCTGCTTAGCCAGTTATGACAAATTCAGAGTCATCTCCACCACTGAAGTCCAGCGAATTCTTGCTAAAAGGGATAAAATGTAAGCCCTAATACCAATATACTATATGCTCAGGCACTTCCATGTGTTCAAGTATGTCAAAATGTTACATATGCAGTGTGCTAATTGGCTATTTCACGCTGCACGCTACCACACTATGCATACATTCACGATTTTGCTATACTTGATAACTATTCATTTAATCAAGTGCTTCAAACGGAGCTGGTGGTCGTTTTGTCGGCCACCAAACCATTGGGTAATGGGTGATGTTCATTGCGCACTCGCTTTGGCTGATGGTATATTAAGGTGCTTCACCGGTACAACTGTACTAGATATGGCTTTGTCTTTTCGCTCCACTTTCTTCCTAAATGACTCCTTTCTTTTGTTTTTATCGTCATCACCCGTTGTCACAAAAGAACAAAACGAGATCGTCTTTTTGCATCCACTTATGGCACCTTTTAGTCTGGTAGGCGCCGTTTGGTCGGAACCACTTTACCTTCATTATTAGCGTCATCATGACCCTTATATTGTGTTTTATCCGTAGCCATCCGCCGCTTCGGGCTGTTTGTTGGCTGAAATCTCCATTTATTGATATCTACTCTATATCTGGTTAACGACCCTTGAATGAATTATATAGAGGAAGACAAATGGTTAGCTGGATCAGAAACAACTAACGATTACCTAGTTAGTCGCTTTGACAGGTTACCTTTTCCAATGAATGGCCGTATTCCATTATACAACATTTCTACTGTGCTAACTAACGTTTTACGTACTTTTATAAATATCAGCATACTTTGTTTGACTTTCTGACTAGTTCGTGTGGAGGCCGCCCAACGCAACGCTGGTTCCCATGCTGGTTGCCACTTTTAGATCCAGAAAAAATCCTCAAAGAACGAACACTTTGCAACACCATAAGCTAAGACAGCCTTGGCTTTTTGCCCTGTTCGATTTACGATAACCACATGAGCCCTATATTTCATGTATGATAGGTACCTACTGTAATACTGTGCCGCCTTTCGGCTTTTTACCAAGAGGGCGTCAATACCGTTTAGTTGATATTCACACAAATCTACGTGTGTATAGTTCCTCGCCGCAGTTGCTGAGTGCATTGCAGAGGCGAGCGTTCCGTGACAGAGAAAACCAACAAGCGGAACCTTAACTATCTATACCCTTACATGAGTGCGCGAGCAGTTATGAGATCATTCATGCATTCCGTTGGTCTAGCACAACAGCTAGATACAGCATCATTTTCGTCGTCGAATAATGCGGCTACAACAGTGATGACAAGCACTGCTTGAATTTTTTTTATCATTTTCATAAAAAATTAAAGAAAATCAGGAACTATGTACCAAAGTGCAGTAAAGATTCAAGCAACATCATGGAAGCACGATCATCAGGCAGATGAAACACGGTATTCGACAAGATAAAAAGAAGGCTGACCTGCTGCTTCCTAGAGAAATTGACTCTTGTGTTATTTCTACCTCCTTAGACACTCCACATACACCAGCCACTTGAAATCAAGAGAAAAGATAAGAGTTATCGGCATCAACTAGGAACAACTTTTCTACACTGCCCCCGTACTAATCGTTATATTCTATCCACTTCTCATACATAGAGCATATCTAGTTTAGTATGAGCGTTTCTTGTATATCCTTGTCGCCCTTACCTAAGCTAAAGCTCATCCAGGAGTGTTTAAAAGCCATTGCCTTTCAAGCCAAAGCCTTTTCGAATAATAGCACCATAACCATCGCACATTCTGGTTTGCTAGCATAGAAACTACGCGTATTCCAACTTGCTGCTTCTGGCTTCGATTAATATTGACTCTGTTAAGAGTACGAAACTAGAAAAGCTAGTAATGCGCACATTGCGGTGGTCGATACCAGAGAATGTACGCTATTTTATTTGTTTTGTCCATACTATTCGTTGACTGGCATACCCAGTTGGCGATACATTTTCGATTGATTCAAAAGCATTCCTTTTAACGTATTATACAGCTAAATAACAGAACGGGCAAACCTAAAGATGAAATCGTCCAGCATTCTATTGCGGCCAGAAAAAAACAACAAAAATCTAATCGAACCTAGCTAATTATTTTTCGCCTGTCTCACAAAGAATAACGCATGAAAACATTAGTGATAGGACGGATAAGTTATGTGACATAAATGGATGACTAAGAGATCCCAGTAGGTGAAAACGAGCGGGCAGACATAGTGTCTCCACAGCCGCCGCACCAACTAGTTCAGGGTAAGTGTGTGCCTATACTAGTAAGCTAGTACTGGTCTTTCGAAGAAAAACTGTTTCAGAAGAGGGCCACCAGTAAGCTATTATATATATTTATATAGAACGCACAGTGTGCTCACACGCAAGGTTCACGTAATCTATAACTTGGCTCTATTGTTTATGTAGTTATTAACGGGAAGTCTAAGACAATCGTTGATCAGCGGAAGCTTCAAGAATACCGACATTAATGTCTGCCTATCGTTTATGTGGAACATTCGAGCACTGTGGCCGGCTACCGACGCCCGCGCACCCAACTAACCGTGATCGAGAGAAGTGACTAGTAATGACAACTAAGTTGGCAGTAGCAGTTTAGCAATCAGTACGAAGAAGTCAAAAGGGTAATGTTGAGGGACAGCCGAACATACAACTATTTCGAAAGCTACTATAGTTCTGCAAGAAGTATATATAGAAGGCCGTTTCCGTGTGACCCTTACTCTTGTCATCCGCAGCGGGTAGCTTGCTTTGTCAGAACACTAGAGCATCATATTATTATAATATAGTATTGTACAACAGAGCCCGAGAAGCTAACGTCGTCTAATAAGAAGAGCTATGACATTAGAGAAATTCGCCAGCAGTTTTCTTTACGCTTGTTAACGATTAGCATAATAACAGCAAAGCAGTACGTTCCCAATTTCGTCATCAACGGAACCCTTACTGCATATAATCTAAAGGCTATAACACAAATCGTAATTTATACTATTTGATGTCACGAGAGAGCATCTGGGAAGATATTTTTTTGGCTACACAGCTACATGGAATCCAGCAATGATCCGCCGGCAATGCAAAATGTACCAGCATTTGATTATGCTGGTTGTTACTGGCAGGGTTAGCGTGAAACGGATTTGAAAACTATTGACCGTTACTTTACCAGTATCGTTGTGACTATTTATAGATTTGCTTCTTAGCTAAATACTACATCAATACCAATTCGCGCATTTTATGAAACTAGTCCTACTTACATACTCCATCTATCTACAAATTTCCGCTAAATACGCTACTTAAAAATGAATGACGCATTAATATTTTTTACGTATACATTTTTGCATGTATATAAAACGCTTTATTTGATTCGTTTTGAATAATCCTGGTTCTTTGTTGGTTGGTTTTTTTCCATTCACATTATTATTGTGCCGTCGTGAAGAGGACGCAATGGGTTTCTTTTAGCTCGCGTATTTGTTGATGTTCATGGTTTGTCGTTGATGTTACTATAGTTGCTGTTGATGCGTTTTTTTCCGCTATTAATTTATTATATACGTGCATTGTAATGGAGCTATTATACAGAAGGACACATAAATAGTAATAATAATAATAATCGTAAAAATAATATCTTTGTCCCACCAAGAACAACCTCGATGCCGTTTGCTTTGCGCACCGTGTATCCCCATAATCGGCGGACAAAGTCTGTCGGAAGTCGATCCGACAAACAAACTCAATTCGGTTATTATTTTCATGTTCATTTTATTTTTCCCTTTATTCTCGATATTGTTTATGAATAGATCGTCCTCCGCGTGGTGAGGGATCCTGGTATGATGGTAAAAACTTACATCCTCTTATTGTTGGTCAATAGGTTTTTGTTTGTTGGTTGAATCTTTTTCGTAAAATCAATTGAAATTATACAAAGAGACATTCGAGGGTGTAGTTTGTTGCGTCTGCTAACGTCTTTCGTCGACTTCTTATTTCTCTCTTTCCTATTCTCTCCACGTTCCTTTCTTCCGCATCGTGTCCTTTTCTTCTTATCTTTATTATTATTATTATTATTATTATTATTATTAGTATTACTATTATCATTATTATAATCTTATCATCTGTTTTCTTTTTCACATATCTCTGCTCTGTTTGAAGTAGTGAGGAGGGTTCGTCAGCGTTACACCTATCTGTAATCTGTACGCGGCTGTTGCTGTTGGGTTAGTCGAAGCAACGTTCCTCCATCGACCTCATCGCATCTTCTTTTTTTTATAGTCTTCCGTCGTTATCTTTACTGTGACCACTTCGCATTCCTCAATCGTTATCATGGAACAAAAATGGAGGAACTCCCTCTTTCTCATTATCCCATGACCTTATTTTTATCTCTTCCCATCATTATTATTAGTCTCCATTATCATCATCCTCAATATTCTTCTTAATTAGCATCTGACCGTCTCCTCCTGTTACCCGCCACCCTTCGCTCCTATTTCTCCTTGCGCCTAGAATTCTGCCACAAAATTAATCGTCTCCGTATAATCATATTCTACGTTCTCTGGCCATCTTCATCTTACACAATCCCTCTCTCTCTTCCTCTATTGGACGTGTCTCCCTCACCTACCGCGACGTCGGCGTCGATTCCTACACCTCTGCCATTCCGACACATCGTCTGCTTCGTTATTTAGGGTAAGGTAACACCTTCGTTAACAGTAACTCAATGGGAAGGTGGCACCGGGGCACCTGCGTTCTCCGCTCCCATTTGTCGGTCGGTCGTTCAAGCGAGGTGCGGGAGATCGGGGATTCGGACTGGGGGTGAGGGGGGATAGAGCAGCACAATATTAGGCTTGAGAAAGGGTGTGATAAGGGAGGGGGGCCGAAGGGGTAAGGGAGACAAAACAAACACCTCCAGATACTCACGGAGCAGACGAAGAACGGGGGAGATTCACACGCCTGCCGCTTTCCCATGTTGTGCGATCGAAGAGGCGGGAAGTGCTGAGCAGGCTTTGAACCGCGCACCCGCCGCCGTGTTTGCTGCGATGTGCCTGGCGGCATTTGTGATTACGTTGGCATGTTATTGTAGTAATTACTGTCTTCTTGTAGATGTTATGGTTTTTTATTGTGATATAAATTCACGTGTTGTTTGCGATGCTTTGTTGTTGTTGTTGTTGTTGATGTTTTGCTTGTGACATATCTGTCTGTTTATTATTATTATTATTAATAATGAATGATGGAGGAGGATTAAGACGCCGCGTGCCCTGTGCTCTCCCTTGTTATGCGTATGTCGTCATTATGTTTCTGTAATTTACTCTTTCTTGTCGTCCGTCTTGGCGGACTCTTCTTTTTTTTCGTCAGCAGCAGCAACAGCAGGCGCAGACTCATCAGCTTTTTTTGCCTCGTCAACCGGTGCTGGGGCGCCTTCTTCCTTCTTGTCTTCTGTCTTCACCTCGGAATCAGCTGCGGCTGGGCCATCACCAGCAACTTCGCCGTCTTTTCCCTCCTCTCCCTCTTCCTTCACGGCCGAATCGTCCTTAGAATCTTTCTTCTTCTCCTTTTCTTTGAAGGAGAACATCTTCTTCAGCTTGTTGAAAGAAAAACGCTTTCCTTTCTTTTTAGCCTTTTCCTGTTCCTTTTGCTCATCGGTCTTTTCGTCGCCCTCTTTCACCTCTTCGCCGTCCTTCTTCTCGGAAGTAGATGCTTCCGCCTGGAAAATATGACAGTTACAAATGACAATTGTTCATATACGTTATGTCATAGCACGACACAATCACTACAGTGACCACTATCATTAACATCAATAAAATCATGCAATGGCGGCAAGTTCCTACGGTATTACGTCTACCGCTTGCAATAGAATTAGCTTGCTTGAAGCAGTCTTCACGAACAAGCCAACCATGGAAGAAAGTTCTATAATAATAATACTATAATATCAAGTAAAAAAAAAGTTGCTGCGCATCAATTAGCACGAAAAGAATGGAACTTCAATGATACGTGCATAAATTATCATCTGCCGTGGTCTTAACATCTAATATCCATATTAACATCCAAACTCCCGCTGTTTCCGTACAATGGGTCGATGATGCCGACACCACCACGAACTCCGCCTAATAATTGCTATTCTATTTTAAAAAGTTAATAACTTGGTGCCGCTAAGCCAAACTACTAGCGAGCTAGCAAAAAATAAAATAGTGAAATGGGATATGTTTTGTGAGCTACTTGTGCGATAAACATCAATAGGATTAGATTTTGGCAGCGGGCAGGGACAAAATGTTTGCTCTGTGCTAGCGGTGTCTGTACTGTGTAATCGGCCCAGAAATTCGACCGAACCCTGATGTCAGCCAGTACTTCTTCGAAACATATATTCAATAGCCATCTTATTTACGAACTATTAGCTGCCTTTTGATCACGATCGTTATGTAATATTTACGACAATTGAAGCCATACTACGACAAGTAATTCACAACGATGAGATGAAAGCATGGTTGACGAAATCAGGTTACAGTCATGTGGAAGCAACAGTTGTCGCTACAATAGAACAATAGCATGATTAAAAAGATACAACAAAAAAAATGATGTCTGGTAGCGAGTAAATAAGAAGTTTGATAGCATAATTAAAAAGCTACATTAAAAAAAAAAACGATGTCTGGCAGCGGTATAAATAAGAAGTTTGATGAATTTAGACTTTTATAAGTACTTTACACTAACAAAGTTGTTTTGCATAACAAGAAGGGGTCCTCTTACGTAGAAATAATGTTTTGCACAGAAAGAAAAATGTAGTAGAATGTTTCGCGTAATAACAAAAAAAAAGATAAGTACGTTGCATGAGAGGAAGACTATAACAAAAAATAGTTTTCCTGATTTCCCACGCCACACTTACGGGAGCCTCTCCAGGACTAATGTGGCCATTGGCCTCGACCCCCTCGCTCGCTTTATCCCCACTGGAATCAACCTTCTTGCCGTTCATTTCCTCGATCTTAAGAGGGGCCTCCTTTCCCTCGACGACAGCTTTCGTGGCGCTCTCAGCCACCTCCGGCTTCGCGTTGTTGGCCTGCGCCACCTCTACGTTCTCGTGCGTCATCGTGCGCTTTAGCTATTGAACTTGTTCGACCACAAACTGAAATTCGAGAAAAGAAATTACAGATAACAAATGAGAAAAAATATGTCGAGCGCTGCCGTTATACTAGAAAGCGTATACACAAGCACATTATGGTAAACACACCTTGATACACATCCACTCATACACACAGCGATACACATGAACAGGGAAAGTCCGCAGCACAAGCAACTATTTCTACAATCAACTACGTTGTTTAGGCCGAAGCAAAACAGTGATCCAAAGTCTTTGAATTGCCATGCAGACTGTCGCAATCGCTGTCGATGCGGTATGTAATATCCCTCAATTGTACCGAACCGCCGACCAATGTTTTGTTGATACACGACGACACTAGAAACACCGATGCAATTGTTCGCTGCCTCATCTAACACACGCAATCAACGCCAACGGTCGAATGGCGCCTATTCCATCGTTAGCCGGTATCCAGGCAGTACACCGGCCTGAACGCTGTAGCTAGTTCAGAGTAGCGGTGTCGCTCCCCACGCACCACTGTAGCAGAGTAAAATACAGGTTAATTTTCGGGAAAAATTTTGCGCAAAAAAGATCTGCCTTCTCCAAAGTACCATAACTTACATGGGTTAAAATTGCGCTCGTTCGAGCGGAGCAAACTTGCCGAGACAACTTCACAAACACACAACGGTCCCGCGATTGAGCGAGATGCCGCCCAAGCTTGGCCACATTCAAGATGGCGGAGAGGTTCGAACCTCCCCGCCAAAATTTGAATGTTCCATAGCGCGGGAAAGAGGACAAGCCGAATACCGAAACCCTGGCCGGCTGCTGAGGCCGGAGTTGGAGGCGCCTAACGCTATAGCCTACACAGGTCATAGTATCCCCCACCCCATCATAGGCGAGCAGCTTTCTCTCCGCTTTGTGTTCTTTGGGTCAATAAGAGAGTTTCAAAACAGAAGTCAAAAGTGACCGGTTCACAGTCTGTTTCGTAGACATGACATTACTTGAAGGGCGATAATATGATGCGGCGGCAACATATAGCGATCACAGTCATAGGACTCGATGATAATGAAACGCCATGGCAGAGTTAACGTCGCACTCTGTTAGTGTCGTGTATTTGGCGCAGATGGTGCTGTATGTTGGCTTGTTAACGTTCCCTGCCCAATCCAGCTTGATCATGTTGAAACATGCTTACTTGGCAGTTCTATTTGGCGGGCAAGGCATGTTTCGGTAATCGACACGTTAACACGAACCTGTATTTATACACTTGTACATTGTTTTGTTCAAATAACCTATGTTCGAAATCATTCGGAGATTAACGGAGCACTAATAATAAGACGTGACGTTTGCCTCTGTTTCTCGTGGACTGGACAAAATGATAAGTTGGAAAATACAAATTAGGCTAAAGAGATTGAAAGCCCTTTTCTACAACTTTCAGTGACGCTGCAATCTAATCTCGAGGGCAGTTATGCCAGGAGGTTTCTAGAATGCATGACTCAATGCACCATAAAGCGTTCATTGACCTAGGGTTCGATTCAGCTGATGCGAGTAAAAAAGCTGACGAGGATTTGAATTACTCACACGTGAACGTGAAAGCGGAGCTAACAATCAGCATTCGGTCGTTCAAGCACATCTTTTCCCGGTTTTTTAGTTGAGATTACATTGCTATTGCCACTTGGAACCATAGCTTTTACCAGCGGCATTCATTGTCCCATGCATGTATACTACTAGCACGACTGCTTAACTAAGTTGAATAATATCGTTGTACATTTCGGTATATCTTATAAGGAACAGACAAGAAGGGTTGTACAACAGAAAAAAAAAAGACACATGACTAAAACGTCGAGGGAATCGTTAATGTTCTCTAACATAAAGCTTTCTTGTCCCGCTAATACTGCAGCGGCGGTGGCAGTTTATGGGGGCATTTGTCGATTAGACCCACAGCGACATGTAGACGCGCAGGCATCGATATATAATATTATAGACTAAGCGAGGACAGCTGAAACAGAGAAACAAAGTATTATTGACCTTTCTCAGTCTGTTCTAGCTCATGCTACCGTTGCGCCGAGATTCAGACGTTTTGCATAACCACTAAATAGTCATCCGTTTGCATTTGTATTTTGAGATTGAATGGCGTCTCGCCATAGATCGAAGAACAGTTGCATCTTGGCCGTGGTGCTTACAAGCAAATAAATGCGCGGGCTGAATAGATGCAGCAGTAACAGTTTCAGACTGTATGCACGTTTTAGCGATGGAAATAGAAAATAAAAAAATAAACTGTGTGCTATTATTTTTTTTTTTGTTGTTAACACGTACATTAACACCTTTCCCGCCTCAACCATCAGAGTAATGATTGCAATCTTATACTGCTGTTAAGCGTTGGATGTCTGCACGGCTCAAATAAGAAAAGAAGCGAACCTGCCTCGAACGAACGGGTCGACGGATGGAGCGAACGTGTGTTTACCTTTGCGTTAGTCTATGAATTGCACATAGACGATAACAGTAACATTAGCCAGCACTATTGTCACTGATGACAACTTACCGTTACGAGTTCTGATTCATCGCGTGTTTACTAGCGGTTTAAATGAAAAAAGAGAGGACGTCTACGCTGTTGAACATAGTAGCAACTCAAATAGCCTGCTCCCTGCTCAATATAGCATCGATACAATATTTGACGGGTCAAGCAGTAGAAATACGTTTGGAAATGCACTAATGTTATATATTCGTAGCAAGCATGTACACGATATGCCATCCTGTTTCGTCGACCCATCTAACCTGAAATAGATCACTAACTAACGTCCAGAGCCGCAGAGATTAGAGTGCCGCGGCTTTCCGTCTACATTCTAGTTAGTTAAACACCACAACAGACTGTTAGCAGTGCGCGGTTTCCTGAGATAGCTAGGTGGCAGTAACCCCACTCAAATTGGAGCTCTTCCAATTGGCATAGACATGTCGTGTACATTATATAATTAACTGCTTGTTGGATTATAATTTCGATCTGAATGTGGCCTGACGGACAGCCGCCTAAAGCAGTGTTTCACGGCCGTACCGGACGTAGCACTCCAGGCAGTCATCATAGGACATAACTGATGCAACAATAGTCAGCAAAAGCGCATTAGACAAACGGTGTCGATTAGAGTTTCTTCTCTAAAGAAATAGCTAACATATGCGCCCGTTCTTCTATTCCACTGTAACCCTGCATGGCTGCGTTTTTCTTAGGTAGACCAGATATGTATTTACCGTGGTCAATATCAGCCATAGCAACAAGGCTGATCACGTTCACTATCCGAGACAGAACGAGCCATGGGGCACTCACTCACGTTACTTTGACCAAAACAGAGAGAGAGACACGTGAAGAAGACTATGAGAGAAATGTCTGCCCAACCCAGCGTCGGAGTGGTTTGATGTTTTTGTTGCTATTGCTGTTGTTGTCATCGTGACTTTTGCGAGTATTCGATAACAGAGCCGCACTCGATGCGAGAGCCGCACAGATTCGATAGCTTTTTTGGTACATTAGAACAAGCGTTCTGGCCCGGGTCCGACTGTCCGAACGGGAACTGGGATAAAGTGAATATATATTGTTGAAGGCAGAAAAGATGCTCAGTTGCCATTGGCGGAAGGCAGACAACTTGGTTGACTAGCTGGCCGGCTATTGCGTGAGCATTTCGCTGAAAGCATACTGTCTTGTACGACATTCTGTGATCATTCTATTATAGAGTGAAACGGTCTACGTCACCGTAAAGGAATGTCTTTTGGCCACAGAATGGCAACAGTAGGGCAAAAAGGACAACCACAATACAAATGACTATTGTTTTGATATACGGTATTATTGTAGACATGTAACGTAACATTCGTCATGCAGCATCCTGTGTTGATTTAGCCGAGACCACACAGAGACAAACTGTCGCACAGAAGCATCAGTTTAATTTCTTCTAACTGTGTTGTGTTAAAAAAAAAAGCACTGAAATTCATTCGTGGTAATAGCCTAAATAAGATAGTAGACATAGCTCAGCGATCGAGATTTTTCGGAGCGCTTCAAGCCAAGAACTAAATAACCAAATATCATTAATATCGCATAGAGTCTAATTGCTGGGACATTATCTTTTTCCACCTTTTAAATATAAATCGGCCACATATCATACAGCAAGTTAACGAGATGGCTACGTAACATCAAGAATTGACGCAATTATTGTTGCTTCATGGTTCCACTTGTTTCAATCATAATAGCATATAGCAGACGATAGACGATCGCAGTGTACCCTTCAGCAGCATATTAGCCAATCGCCGCCGCTGTTCCGGGTTCGAACCCAATGGACTCTGACGTGTAACCGCGCCACCTTCTCTTTACCGTTCACAGTTACACCTTCCAGAGTAATTGAGCCTTGACGACCGATAGTACATTGTCACTTAAGCTGTCTCGTGGTCCGTTTAGCTTACGACCTGGTCGAACGCAACTCTTGACCAGATAGTTCATCGGTCGACTGACATCGCTGACCATCTGCAATCTATTAAAATAATAATAGGACTTTGCCCATCGAGAGCATCAGCTTCATCATCGTTCTGCTCACATCGGGAATCTACGAAGGACAGCCAACAATCGAGCAGATCAACAGCTATTAGAAACATTGAAAGTTTGTTCCTTTTTATTTTTTCGGTAATCCTTCTCCGCTATAATGCAGTTAGAACAACAATAAAGAAGCGGATCGCTCCATGCGGTTCGACGTTTGATCATCCTGAACGTAATCACTTCGGTAGAAATTGGTCAATCCGTCTTGAGTTTGCCTTTGTCGATTTGTTAGTCACGACGCTTAATGGCCTATTTACCATCGCAGCATTATGTAGAATGCCATCACCACAAGCCTACTCAATTCTTCCATAGGTCTAAGGTTGTCTTAGCACTAGCTGCCATCCACTATAATTCAACGATCTAAAGCTAACGATGAATACGTTGCTCAAGTTCTTCCTTATTGTACTTCTAGCATATAAACGATAACTCGCCGGCCACAAGACGCACCGGAACCAACGAGAAAGGATCGTTATGTTTTCTCTCCGTTCTGGCACTTATTTAATCATTGATCACTTGTGTTGTTTTTCCTTTTTGTTTTTTTTTTTTTTTTCGCTAATTTGACTAGCTGGCTAGCACAAGCTAACAAAAGGCAACGGACAGAAGTCGAGTTACCTCCATTGCCACCAACCCCGTTTCGATATATGTTCTCGTCTATCGTTGACAAGCTGACCGACCGTGCAAGATCAACGAGCACGTTAACATCGGCGATGCATCGCCTGCAACAGCAGTGCGACAAACTAATGGCCATATCGGTTGATGCCCATCTAAATGTGTGCCGGTTTGCCGTTAAGTGACGTGTGTCGCTATTGACGACAGACAGCAGCGCCATATCGACGAACAAGTTAGCATTGGCTGGTATCCGACTCCGAGGATAACAAGATGAATTATGGGGCATCATTGTAAACCATCGTCATTCTGCGACCTCTGTATAGAGAAGCGATTATATGTTTATACCAAAGTGTCTCCGTAAGCCTGCTAATTATGTTAGGTTATGCCGCGACGAGGCATGAAGAGTGCTTTGAAGCACCAGAAAAGATCACTGGTCAATTTCCAAGATGTCGAAGATGCAGAGCAGAAGAGGGGAGGCAAGACTGAAGACCAAGACTGAGATGCGAAAGCGACGATTGTTTCTTCTACAGCGCTAAGCAAATGAGCTAGTAATCGCAAAACGCTGCAACGCTGAACTCGGTCGTACAGGGTAGCGACAGACGATGTCGACCACTTACGGTCTCTTGGTGCCAACTCGGGCCGGAAGTCCCGGCCGCTACGCGTTGTCTATGTATACACGCTATGTAAGCTCACTATGGCTTTCGATTTTGCTATCTGGGTCTTTGTCACGTTTAACAATCGAGGCAACACAATCGAACGTACCAAACAGTGGCTAAAAAGACAACCTCCACTCGAGAAGAGAAAGAACCAGGCTCACAATACTGACCGTCCGCCCACATATTAAAGCCCAGGTTATGAGTGTTCAAGCACGTGTCATCGTACCTTGGCTGGAGCAGACAAGATGTAGGCTCTGTTCATCTCTTCTTGCTTCTTCTCTTTCCACAAAAATTAGTACAATCGTTACATTGTCACGACAGGCGGAGCGATATACATTTACTATGTTAGCAGGAAGCGAGACGATGCCCTTAGTAGTAATCATTATCGTTAGCCAGTATCGTGACAACAGATCGTAACACAGTGCGAAGCGTTCGGATGTATAAACACAACAATGCAAGTGTTACATATAAATGGGGGAGAGAGGGTGATCGATTCGGATAGCAAATCACGGTGCGTAATCATGTCAAATATTAAAAAATGAAAGCAAATATAAAGTTAATTGGGCTCGTGTTATGGTCAAGACTATGGTGTATACGGCAGTTAAATTTCCACTATTGAATTACGTAACTAATAAAAGTAGTAGCTAATAACGGTGACCAAATCTCACGTTCTCAAGCATTGCATTAGAAAACTTACTCATACGGTGGGACCACTTCCACTGCTCAACTAAACACGCCCGCACGCCGTGTGACCCACTTGAAATCGGAACACTCCAACTACATCGTTTCTATGAGGTTCTTAATACACATATGTGTAAGCAAACATTGTGTTTCCTTTCGACATATTTACTACGTAGCGAAATGGTGTTTGTGCAAACTTCGTTTACCTTCATGAGCAGATTGTTAGCGCTAGCTTCTTTCTCGGCACACGCGGGGTAAGTTAACCCATCGCGCACCTGATGGCCCTCAGTGACGAAGTCATGAAATAGACTAGCATCGAATAATTAATACACACCTATACCACAATAAGCAGCGCACCT